GGACATAAAAGAATTGTCAAGTTACTGCTGGAACGGCAAGACTCCCGAGCCCAATTGCCCCGACGAACCCGACCAACTACCACTCGAGTGTGCTGCTGTCAAAGCCGGTGGAAGCTCAGTTGAGCTACCGCCAGAGCCAGAATATGTCGACCTCAACCTCCCCAATGAGAATGAACCATCACAGCAAAGGCAGAGTGGCCAAGCCACCACCATAACGGGAAAATGTGGACCCCCATCATCAAAATCTGAAAGTGCGAACACCACTCAGGGCTGCTGTGAAGGGGCACGAAGGCGGCTGGGCCGCTACCGGAACAGGGAAGTGCCGATCCCAACCACCCAGGCGGGGTCGATCGAATGCCACCCACGTCTGCTATTATCGCGCACATGAAGGAGTGACCCAGCCGCTACGAGGACCGGAAATTGTCAACCCAATCACCTGGGTGAGAATGACCGACCACCCGCCGTTATAAAGGCACACGAAAGAGTGGTTAGCCCAGTGCTTGGGCGAGAAAATGTGAATCCCACTTGCCCGTTTGTGAATCCTCGATCACCATGCCGTTTGTGTATGCTGCTACAGAAGCACATGAAGTGGTGCTAAACCTATTGCTGGAGCCGGGGGTTGTCGGCCCTAGCATCCCAGATAAACACGGCGGTATCATACGCCACTCTCATACGTTAATAGGGAGGGCCAAAAAAGCAGTGAAGCTACTCCAAGCCCAGTCATCTATTGAATGCGCTGATGCGCAGTGCTCCCACCAGCAGTGAGGAAACCGCGATTAACTAGAAGCCGGGGGTGCTCTGCCGCTTACGCTCACATCGATTACGCTCACATCACCAGGGATTACTTCTCTTCTACTACCAGCCCTGCACGACCTCGTGGATCCCAATATAAACCGCTCCGGTAACTGCCATCCTGCCTCTCTCTCTTCTTTTTTTTCCCCTTCCGGGACCCCCAAGCCAGTCCTATACCTTGATCTCGAAATCCTCCCGACCACCGCTAACGGGTGTCCTACCTGTAAGTAGATATACACCCTCGAAAACCTCTGAATATTTTCTAACGTTGACAAATGAAGGTTCGCGATATTCTGTTCCTTATGTTTGGCATACAGCAACCGGCGGATTGTTTCACTTGCTAGCTTGCACCATTTACCTTATCCCTATTCCCGATCGAATAGATTCCTTGTTGCAAAATCTTCTTTCCTATACTTTACTTTGTGTACTTACTTCCTCCTTTTCTTCCCTTGCTAGCAATAGACCGATAGATGTACAGATAGATAAACCGCACATAGACTATCCTTTCCGCTAGCATTACCCCTCGCATAAGCATTCCCGAAGCTACCGTAAAAAAAAATCAACTCCAAACCTTGCTATTCCGAGGTGGCACTGTTTCCGGTAAGAATTTGTACTCGATTTACTCATCCTCACCCCAAATATTCCAACCCTATCGAACCCCTTCCCGTTTTCTCCATCTCACCCATCATATAAGTTATCTTCTGTCCATGCGATGCTCAACCCGAACCATTAAATCAGTGAAGGCAGCAACCTAAAGAAGACATGCGATCATACGCCAGCCCCTCAAACCCACCACCACAAGCACACCACAAACCCTAGTTATGATACATAGAAATCTGTTGCTACCCATACCCAATTCATACAACACTAGGGAGCCGCTTGGCGCATCAAACCGTGCTTACCACACTAACCAATTACTGGCCGCAAAACCGCCATTTCTAACTATTTTTATTGGCCAGCTTTCCAACCATAATTTCCTAAGTGTGGTTTTCCATCATACCAAGCTGCCCATAAACAGCCATAATCGGTGATATAGCATTTGGGGGCTGCATTTCCGTGGGAAGCTCGAAACAAACACACCTGTGAGTAATCCACCAGCGCCAGATATAGCCCTTGATTTCTGGCAGAAGTAGGGAAAGCACACGTCAGGTTGTCGCTGTCACGGTATCACCTTATCAGCAGCCGTGCATTCTCAGCCGCCGTAGGAAGCATGACTCCTGCCATCCGGCTATCCCACCATGATAGCCTACCATGCTATAAATTCTTGATCTACTGTGTCATACCGCAAGCCCTCATATCAGGTCCCAATGTCCATACCTATCTTACCCATCAGTCTCCTTTCCAGCTGAACCGCCTTCAAACTCCCAACTTTTGTATTACTACTGGAGCGGCCGACGGACTCCGATACCGTTGACCATACCCCGCAGCACCGTGCTACGGTGTATAGCACCGCACTATCCCACGCTACGAAGGCAGAAGCCGCACATAGGGAATGAGGAACCCCCCCTTCTTTCACCTCAATTTCCTCAATTCAATTATTCTGATCATCCAGCCCCAATCAAAAACGGGAAACCCAAAATGAGCCAACCCCCAAGTCCACCAGGCCCGGCGGCCAGGGAAAAATTCAAGGAAATCTAGAAAGAATACAGGAATATTACCAAGAAATAATTGAAATAAACTCCATCGTAGCACACCACTCACCTGTCTACCCCCCCGACCACAATTTCAAAGTGTATGATACATTATGAAAAATGTTGCGTGACACTGGCCTTGGCAATGGGGAAATACCTCTCCACCTCACCAACGGCAGTGCACAGTCCAGATGAGCAGGAGCAGGAGTGGGGGGGTGTGGAACCCAGCCCAACAAGCCCCAGCATCCGATTCTGCGCACTCGCCCGGCAGGAATTATTCCCGGACGCGGCCGTCGACAAGAAAAATGGACAAAAAATAATAACACTAATAATGATAATAATCAAAAATGAAGTTGGATACTCAAATGTACTTATGCAGGCCAAAAATCTTCATCCAGTGCCCACCTCCCAGAAACCCGTTAAAAAAAATCTGAATGCATTCCCAATGAGTGATATATCATGATTACAACATCCCTTTGAGCCATGATAACTATTATAATAGGACATTGCACAAATCCCCCCAACTCAAAGACTTTTTTTTTTCCCCTTTATTTTCCCACCATTCTATTGAATTTCTTTACTATTCGGTATTCTCGTGCTTGTCTATTCCATTCCAAACTACACTTAGAAAAAAAAAAAATTCAGGGAAATGCCATGGGCCGAAGCATTTCTCCAGTCCAGCCTGGAAAATCCCCGTCGGAAACTCGAGGCCAGCCACCGTCCGGATCAACCGAAGAGAACTCGGAAGGGGTTGTTTTTTCTATTTATTTATTCCCTTTATACGATATAATAATATTATAGAGAGGAGGGGAATCCGGATCTCTGGGTGCAGGGTCTCTACAACCAGGGGAATTATAAGTATGATGTTCCTTATCACAAGGCGAGCTATGACACGATATCATAACAGTTACGTCTGTAGCCACGCTTTTGACGGGGTCCGCTCAAGGAGATCCCCAAATATCACGCTTGCTTTTGGTAAAACATATGGCGGGGCGCCACTCCACCAATGGTAGCGGTTAGGGCTGTTTTCTCTCCAACGGTTGGTGAGCGGGTTCTATTCTTGGAGCTGTATTATTATATCAGAGGTATGATATGATATCCTATCAGATGAGGTTTTCTTCAACCGCGGGTGTCTGCGCTGCTTATGATACGGTGCTATCTGTGCCGGTACTTAGGGCTATTCTTGTGTCTCACCGCGGTATCACATGACGGTCTGCGGAATAATAAAAAACATGTATTTATCACATTATATACGTAGACTTGTAATAAGTGCTCTGTGTAAGATAATCTTATCATAAATTCCTCGCGTCATAGCTGTAGTGATCGGAACTACGGGTAACAGCTTTCGTGATTGTGATGCATGGCAGTGTATGCATCTGTTTTGTTTGTTTTTTTGCTTTTTTTTTAAAAAAAAAATAGTTCAACTGCTTGTTTTATTGTCTCTGGCAGAAATGCAGTGGAATATTACACAGGAGAGGGAAAATTAAAAGCAAGAAAAAGCAAATTTGTAAACCAGGCTCATGAACAAGACAGAAAATTCTGTTTGGGAAGGAAAAAAAATAAAAAAAGGTATAAAAGCTGATAGAGTAACAAATCGCTTCTCCGATGCCCCCAGTCAGAGTATCTCCCCCTCCCAATCTATCCCATCAACAACATCCTCAACTTCCCCTCCCCAACGTCCCCTGATCGCTGTAATACACTCCTTAGCGCCACCGCCAATACCCTGCACCTCTCCTAGCCATCCAATCCACTTGGACATGGCTTCTCCAGCGACACTCTCGATCCACCGCACCTCCCCGGGTAGCATCGCCAGCGCGAGTAAATCCCCCGAACCCAAAAAGCCCAACTTCCGCAGTCCGTCCATCCAGCCCTCCTCCCCACCCTTCGCGAGTGAGGCCCCTTCAAGCAAGTATTTCCGTATCCGCCCCTTCCTCACCTCTTCCGTCCCCTCACCACGATTTACCGCGGCAGCATAACGTGAAGCAACGGTATGCAGAATCTTCTTCCAAACAACTTTAGTAATCTCCTGCTGGTTGAGGGTCTTATCGTGCGTGCGTGCGAGCTTCGTCATAAGGACGAAGCCTTCCATCGGGTACTTCCAAGCGAGACTGTCTTCGCCCTTTTTAGGATGCAGGAGGACATCTGTTACCCACGCGCCTACGGGCCCCTTGTGATCATCGCCGGCGAGTTTGACCTCTGTCAGGATAATGTCCCGCGTGAAGGTTAGGGCTGCACGGCGTTGACGGTTCTCCTCGCTGCCGTCTTGCGCGGACCAGGTCTTTTCCAGGCAGTTTTCGAGCACGGCGAGAAATAGGACTGGCAGGAGAGGGGAGGGGTATGTGTTTGGAGTGCCGAGGGCCGAGTGCAGGACGCTGCGCCAGAGCGCGGAATTGCGAGTCCAGGAGACGAGTGGGAGTGTTGCCGTGGCGGGTTCTCGAAGTGGGGTCTCACGCTGGGCGACGAGAAGGGTGCTGCAGTCGTGGCAGCACATCCAGCTTGATACCACGTCGTTATGTGGAGCAGAGCCGAGGGAGAGGGGAAAGTGGAGGGGTTGCGGAGGGGACGGAGCCGGGGCAGTCGGGCGTTTAAAGAGGATAGAGAGGAGAGCGTTTGATTCGAAGCAGAGACTGCATTCGCCTAGGAATGCACCGGTGACGTCCAGTGCTGCCGCCGGTGGAGTGGGTTGGCGGGGAGGCAGCGGGGCTGGAAAAGAAACGTTAGAGGGGCTCGGGGGTCCCCGTGTGGATGAAAGTGGGGATGCAGAGGTTAATGTTGAGCTGCTGAAACCGCTGCGGGTGCTACGGGTCAGCGATTCGAGAGCAGCGTCGATTGTGGTGTCTCTCGGACTCCTCACGGTAGAAGAAGGAGAGAAGTGGCGCTGTCGTTGCTGTCGTTGCTGTTGTTGGAATTGTTGATACGGTGGTGGTAGTTGCTGTTGGTGCAGTGAACTATTTCTCCTATGAGCTTCGCGGAGTTGTGCCCTTAGCACATCAACATTCGCTCCATCCCTACCACTACCCCCACCGACACTCACCCCCCGCAAGGCTTGTGTAAGCTGTTGCACCGACTGCGCTGCTCTCCCATCCACCACCCCGCCCGGGCTCTGTGGGAACCCAAAAGAAGGAGTTTGATTCCTCTGCAACCAAGTCCTCGCACTCCCGCTCTGTCCCTGAGCTTGCGCGTTCAAAAGGATGCTCTGCAAATGGTTCTGGTTCCCCAATAACTCCGTGACCTGAGCATCACTAAGGTCCGTATCAAAAAGCGTGCTAAAATTCACTCTAAGACCATCCGACAACGCGATCTCCTCCGGTGACAACTCCAAAGGCGGCGGTACGACCAAATCCCGGAATGCGGTGCCAGGGAGAATAGTAGGCAAGTCCGACCAAGTGGTATTATCGCCGAGCACCACTCCCTCACCGCCGGCGGCGCCAAGTCCTTCAAAGCACCCTTTCGCGGCAAGTACGTAGCAGCGGCCATGGATTTGCACATCCTGGTACAGTAAAGCCGAATGCGGCACGGCCGCGAACGGTGACAAGCCAACGGAAATGTTGCATTGTGCGGGCATCGACGAATCCGTGCTCCCGAAAACCACGACGACGACGGGGACCCCGTGCATCCTCTCCTGTGCCAAATGGGTCGAGAAGCGCCGCACCTCCCATTCACTAATGTCCCCGTCTGTCAACAGGAACCAGACTCCCGACGAGCGCAGCGCCGCCAAGTGCGGCCGCGAGAGCAGTAACGAAACGGGATTGGTACCCCCTCGGGACTCCAAAAAGCGAAGGCCCGTCAACGCGCATGGAGCCTCGGCTTGGTGGTTCCAGGGCAGGACATGTACGTTTTGCCGGTTTTCTGGGAGTATTAGTTCGATTATGCTGGACATAAACTCAGTCTCCGTCCGGAGAATCCGGCCTGCGGTGGAGCCGCTGACGTCGACTGCGAGGGTAATGTTGCATTGGGAGAGTGGACGGGGAGAAGTAGGTCGCGGCGCTGGGGGTTGGATTGAAGCCGGGGAGCTTGGAGCCGGAGGCGGCGAATGGAATCCTCGAAATCCTGCTTGCGATTGCGGGGTCGGTGGTGTGGCTCCAGGAGCTTGAAGCGGTCCACCCCAACCGCTTACCGGGCGCTGCGAATTCGGGTTGTTCCCGCCTAGCAGTAATGCGGGTGGTAGATTCGCCCAGTGCGCGGGCCCAACATCGGACGGGGAATTGGCATTGTTGTTGTCGCTGGTATTACCGCCATTGAACCGCCGTGGACCCCCGCCTGGGAGCGGGCTGAGGAGAGGGTTGTTAGAACCCCCCGATCCAACTGATCCCGGAGCCTGCGGCTGCGACTGCGACTGCGGCCACCATTGACTGCCAGGCCTGAATGTCCTCTGATTCCGTGAAGTATTCCCCCCTTCACCCCCGCTCGGCAACTGCGAGAAGTGCCGCCGATGCGACATCCCCTTATCGCTGGAGATGGAAGGCGTCTGCTCCTTCCTCCCCACAAATTTAATACAAAAAGAGCTACCTTCCGTCGGCTCAGTACCGGTACAGCAGTATATCTAACTCGTACACAATCTTTCCCTTCTCTTCACTTCACTCTCCTCCCCTGGGGCTTTTCCGTATGAAGAACGATGTGGAGATGACGAGCGCGGGGATTTTATAGCGAGGGGTGTGAGTGATGAGCGAGGCTGAGACTCTCGACTGACTCACTTACCGCACTGTCCGAAGAACTGCCTTGAGTCTTGATTTTCCAAGCCAGCCCTCTGATTGAACAAGAGTTCCCGCAGGGGTCTCTGGTTGGTTACAAGTTAATGTGTAAAAAAGTGCGATTTTCGCCCTCAAGGCACCTGTCCGAGGCTTTCATTGCAGGGGGAGAGTCCGGCACTGGTACGGTACAGATATGGCACAATACTGGTACCTGTGAGATTCCAAACCGCGGTTTATGAGCGCAGCACCGTACACCATTGATACCCTTGGCAGAGAAATGGCTCGACGGTTCGTTCCTCTGCCGTGATAGTAGGGTGCCGTACCGAACCTTCACATCTGCAAAAACACGCGCGTTCCCTTCACACCTGGCCCGGGTAACCGATCAAACAGAGCAATCCAAACGCGAACCAGGCCCACCACAACAAACACAATTCAGGAGCCCCGGTCTATGTACCCCAATGATACCGGTGTTCGGCCCCGCACTACGAGTGATAATAAATCCTAACTAAATTCTATTAAACATTATGGTAAGTTGCAGGCGGTACCTGTATCCAGTGTTGTGAGGACCCGTCAGCGCCAAGTGCCTAGTCATGAACCTGACCATGGCCAGTGACGGACGGGTGGACAGGAATAAGGAGTGACGGGGGGTGATAAGGGTCACCAAGGGCTTGGCACCCCACTGTGAGTTCCTGCTAGGATAGTTATTTACGATACAGATTAGGAATTTTAACCCTAATCCTTCTCCCCCCACTAGCACCCGTCACGATGATCGTTCCCGACCCCAATCACCTTTCAAACATGGGTGACGGGTCACGTTGGATTTGGGGGTGACCACCACGTCACTCACAACACTCTCTTTATCACATCCCCTCTCGCACTGTAAATTTACCCTACCGATATCATGCTTTGACAAGTCGCCGTGTTTCCGTACCGGGGGACCGTGAGGCGAAACAGAAGCTTAGCTGACGAAAAATGTTGTGAGTGGCACTGAGTGCAGCCACTGAAACGACCCGTCTTGGCAATCATTTTTCTCCAACTGGCAAACTGATGAAAGAAAAGGAAAGAAAAAAAAATGAAAACCTATGAAATTCCGCTCTCACACACTCACTCCGGTTGGCTAGCCGGGCGACCCGGGGGACCAATGAGGATGAGTCCGCATCACCCGCTCGCAACAACCCGCTATCAGCACACTTCTCTCGGTATACGGTACGCACACCCATCGTCGTAATGCTCCGTACGATATGACACCATATGATAGACTGCCTTCCCGTCAGCCGTGAACTCCATCAACTTCCACCGGCATGATATTATATGACAACAACCGCCCGCAACTACGAGCCCCTGAGTCCAAATTTAGGTTTATACGGGATCACACAATGTCGTCTATACCGTTTTTTTTCAATTCTCTCTCTCTGAATCTATTCTAGCTATTGTTCCGGCGGTTTCTTGATTAGGTGTTTTTGCATCGTGACGCGTTTGATAGCGGCGGAGGGTTTTCTGGGTTCAGGGTGTACGCGCACTTTTGCAGTTCAGGAAGGTATGATATGGTTTTTTTCGTATGCTAAGGGCATAATACGAATACCATACAATAGCATTATAATCTATCCAGTACCGCATTATTTATTCCACCACCAAAGTTTCTATAACTATTGCATTGTAGTCCCCAACACGCAGTAGCCATGCGCGGCTATCGCTGCCGGACGTTTGGAGGCCTGCCTGGGTCGTGGTCAACTTCTTTGGGGTACGGAGCCACAGCACTGGCACGATAGGTATGTACAAGTAGCAGCGGCCGGGAGGCATCCGAAAACAAGGGATTTCCACACCGTATGTTTCGCGAATCCCTGTCCTTGGCCATCGTATTTCTCCCCCACCGGTACCCCGCTTTGCCTTTCGTGGTCGTCGATCATACAAGTACCGACCCGTACTTGAGTAGCATGAAACAGCACAAGTGGTTTACCCCACTTTAAATATCTGAAACTGTAGCACAATGCCTCAATCTCGCACGAGGACAGCATTCGCACCCGGAAGGTCTTGCCCAAGCATTATAACGTGTTTCCGCCAATTCACTGTATTATACTATTATACCGGTGCTACCGGTATGATACCGTACTTCAGAAGACAAAAATACCCACCCGACACGAAACAACCATCAATCGCGCACCACGTCTACGAGGCGTCCCTCGATAAAAATGGGATTATTGACTCCAGATTAAGCTAAGCTAGTGTAAAAACACAGAAAGAGAAAGACAGAAAGATAACAAGAAAATACCGAAAACAATCCACCCGCCAGTCCCCCCCTCCCCCCAACTACAACTTTATCTTAGCGGCGTCGTAGCACAAGTCAATGAGGCAACTAGAACTCCAGGCTTGTGTGGGACAAGAGTCATAACAGATTTCACCATTCTTATTCGTCAACTCCGTCAGGCCAGCCCAGGGGCTCTCGTTGATGGCCTTGCGGCATCCGTCCATGCGAAGGTTGATCTGCTGGAGTGTTTCGATGTTGGGCGGGCTGAAGGTGAGAAGCGCTCTAAGGTAGAAGCCCGTTGGCCACAACCATTCGGGGCCCTGGTGGTAGTTACGACCCTTTGAGGTTGCAAAATCGTCGCTGTCCTCACTGTTGCGGTAATACGGGCGATAGTCTTTGTCCGTGGGGCTACTTGCTTTTAGTCGGTTATCAAGTTAATATTAGGTGGCTAGGGGCTTACTCAAGTGTGGCCATCCCAGTTGGTCCTCGGAGGACCTCGTCGGCTATCTCAAGACATCTAATCGCATGTTTGGGAACAAAGAGGTCTGGTGCTACCGTCATTGCAATCGCAAAGTTAGGCCTGAATTGGTAGTCCTCATACTCTTTCCCCCCGCCATAAATATCCTTATATATCCCACGTCTGCCGATGAGTTCAGGCTTGATGGAATATTTGGAATCTTCTGCCGGGTCCTCAGGGACATAGTAGAGCTTTTCAAAGTTCTTCTTGAGCAGGTCCGCCCACATGCCAAAGGTGATGACCTTCCCCTCACTAGTCTTCGCACTATCCCATTCGTATAGCTTCTCCTTTTTCAGCTCTGTTACCCACTTCAGTGTGCTATACAATAGCCCCGTGATTTCAATCGCTGCTCCATCTCGGGGGGTTCCTATTTCCACCATTAGCTCCTACTCTAGGTCTTCCACAATATCTTGACATACCCGGAACTCCCTTATTGCCAGCTCTTTCGCTCTCTCCCATCTTGTCCATCCACGTTCCGCAATTGAATTGGCTTCCTCCCTTGATTATTCCTGTCGCCCAATCCGGTTTGACGCCGACGGTAAAGCCCTCCCATTTCATTTGCCTGTCCAAACCCGGCCCAGCGTTGGCTTCCAGGAACTCGAAACCCAAGGCATGTCTCTCCAGCGCCTCCTGGACAATCTCAGCGATAGTGCTCTCCCGGCTGTACGCCCGCGGATCATCATAGTTGAACCAGGTATCGTCGGATGGGAGGAATCGGCGCTTGACCTTCTGCTGAAGCAGCTCAATTCCGTTGGGAACAATTTTGGTGTAATCTTGAACAGCCTGAAGATAGAACCATATGCTGTCGCGGGCGTTGTACCTGGGCTTCCTTCCGCCGTCCAGGAGGTTGGGGATCATCCCATGTTTGAGAACCGACCCGAAAGCCAAAATGTGCTCCTTCGCATCTTTATACCTCCCAGTCGCCAGGTAAAGACCACGGATGGAAATGAAAACATCTCGTCCCCAGCAGCGCATATAGTCGTGTGAAAAATGTGGCAAGCCCGCGGCCATGCAAGCAACCTTCTTACCGGGCCAGAGAGAGGTAGAATCCATGAGACTGCACCGAAATGTCAGAAACGATTAAATTCGATGAGAAGGGTAGAGCAAACCCAGTCATCTGCAACGACACGAGTGACAATCCCTTCAAGAATGCTGTCCCCTCCTGGATATCTTCGGTGAAAAAACTTGTAGCCCTCTCAACAGCAGCAGTATACGCCGTTTGTACAACCAGCGCAAAATATCTCGGTAACAAGAAGCCCGGAACAGATCTAATCCGATCAAATCTCTCTTTCAACCACTTGGCGGGCCCTGCAAGACCTTTGTTACCACGAGCTTCAAGTTTCTCCAACCTGCCCACAATGTAGTCGAGTGCCCATTGGCCGTCCCTGAGATGCTGGCAAATAGGATGTGCAAGATCATTGTTCCGGATAACCTCCTTCAACACCGACCACCACCCCTGAAGCCCTGCGTAAACCAAAGCTCCATACCTAGGAATGTTGTAGCATCCATCCCGGTTATCGCTTGAATCCTTCTCCTCCGACTCACAGCGATAGAGCACAAAGTTCAAGTCCACCAAACTCGTGTTGGCGAATGCCTCCTCCGCGCCGCTGGTGACGAACTGAGCCAATGACTCTCCGTCGGTTCCGGGGATCCAGGTTTCGAGCAGAGCGATACTTCCGGGCGGGAATTTTTCCGGTACGGTAATTGTGGTCGTGGTTCCGTGGTCCTCAATCTTAGGGCTCTCCGCCTCCGCAAGCTTGGCCGGTAATCCGGTAAGATAGTCGGGCTCGTTGAGCACTTTCTCCTTCTCTTCGTCACTACCGTCCGCCACTAAAGTCCAGCTTCCAATTACCTTGACCTTAGTTCCGGTAACGGTGATTGGGTTAAAATCGCCCCTATGATCTCCGGGGCCAAATGCGGTATGCGCAATCAGGAAATAGCCCTTGTGACTCTTGGGATGTACTCTGTGGACCGTGACGTATTCTCCCTCGTGGTGGACATGCATCTCCGTGAACCCATCTTTCCCCATCTCAGTGTGAATCCGATTGAGGAGGCTCTTGACTTTGCCAATACCGGCAGTTGTTTCATCGATTTTTTCCGGCGGTGGGTAGTATATTCTTGGCTCTGTAACTAGATTGAGCAGTTTTGGGTAAATCTCGTCATAGCCCATCACCGATCCAATACCGCAGTCGCACATTGCAACCAAAGCACCATTTGGGAGCGTGTCCTGAGGAGTTCTCTTCTGGGTGGGCGTTTCATTGTCGTGGGTGCAGTCCATAAAAAGGGCGTGGATCGGGCTTGCCGTAACAGCTTTGATAACCTCTCTGCTATCACTAGCCCCATTGACTTTCGGCTTGCTGGATGGCGCACTGGAAACGGTGCTACCCTTGACTACAAGCTCCTGCCTAAAGCTTCCGATTGGCTTTCCGCCATGCCTATGCACAAGCCTCGAAAGTTCTCCCGGACCCCACGCAACCATCGCTTCGCGGACAAGACTTCCGAGCCCCAGGTGCTCAACAAACTTTCTATCCTCGTATTCACTACCAGTGAAAAGCTCGGCGACAACGTATAGGTCTTCCCGAACCTCTCTTGCGATATCGAGGAGGTATTGGCCGACGTGGATGGGAGTAGAATGGCAGTTATCGATACGGAAACCATGGAAACACTGCGCCATAAGTTTAGTATAGTCAACCATAAACTGCCATAAGAACGGATTGTCTTCCGGCTTATCACCAAATCTTAACTTCACACAGTCACCCCACACGATGACTTCTCTTCGCAGGTAAGATCGTGATTTTGGGCCAGCAAAGTCCGCAACGTTGCTCCAAATCCACCCATTGTTGGCCAGCGCAAGACTCTTGGGATCATGCTGAGCGGTTATCTCGTTCTTCGGCAGTCGGGTAAAGTAAGTTTCAATGATTGGGCTCTCCTTGGTTATCTTGCCCATCTTGGGGCCGTTCGAGTCAAGTCGGAGGTAAGTGATGCGATTGTAGATTTGTTCCAGGATTTCGGAGCAATCAAGGTCGTATTCTTTGTAGAACGGGAGATTGATCTCATCAAGAACTTTTATAAGGGCTTGCTTCGCTTCCTCAACCTGCTTTGGTTTCTTGGGGTCGGGGTTGCCGCATTCCAAAGTGAGGAAAGCTGCACCGATCACAGGGTCGATTGTCCGGCTGTATCGTGATCCAAGCGTATCTGCCCCCTTGAGCCCATTCTTGATAAGAAACTGTGCCTTATCATGCAAGGATAAACCCGACATGTACCCAGCAGTATCGATAGGTTTCGAATTGCCCTTTCCCGAGATATATGCCTCAATAACAGCACCCGCAGCGGCCTCCACGTTGACAACATAGAACTCCCAAAGTTTGAGTGCCCCGATAACGTGAGTTTTCACACCATCCATAAGCTTCAGTAGATCCTCCTTTGTCTCAAGCTCGGTAGGAGATCCTAGCGCTTCGAGGTGATTGCCAAAGTCCAAAAGGGCGGTGTCAAGCTCATACGCCGCTTCGAGCCAAGGTGCGGTTACCAGATTGTAACCAGATTCCGGATGGCTCTGCAGCCAAAGAGAATTGTGAGCGGTGTGATTCCAGACGACATCGGTCAGACTGAGCAGTCCATGCTGCTTCTCCATCCGATCAACAATCAACATCACGTCCTTCGTACCGTTCGGGAATGCTTCCGGATCGAATGCAAGCTGATCATATATACTGTACGGCGAATTCGATTCGCCACGGTGCATCATTGGAGTAAAATGAACCATATTATACCCCTTCTCAGCGATATATTTCATGTACCCATCCCATTTCGAGACGGGGCCGAGCCATTTTGAGACTACCGAGAAACAGGACAGGGAATCGAGAGCTAGGGGTCCGCCGTTTACGGAGAGGCGGGCAGCAACGGTAAACCAGTGAGTGTCGGTCCTCGTAGCCCCGGATGGATTCGTTGGCGATGATAGTTCTTTCAGGGATGGGAGAGGATCATAGGTGATGTAATAGCAAAAGGTGCCCGGCACAGCGATGGGAACGTCAATTTGAAGAGTTCGGGAAAACGAAGGTGTGAGTCTGCAATCATCGATAAACATTAGCACCCACCGCGGACGACCCAAATGTTGATTCACCTATTTCAATACCGGTAGCCAATTGGTCCCGAAGAGCCGTCGGGGTGAAAGAAATCACACATAACCCCCGCGGCCGCCACGTACGGAAAAAGGGACATCCGTGAACCATGCAAAAAACTAAACGGGAAACAAACTTGAATTCTCTAAATTTATTTCTTCCAAAATTTTCGCCCTTCGCAGGGACATTGGTCCACAAGCTCCCATTGCGAGTTATCGAGCTCGCGCCCTCAATAGCGATCCTCAAGGTGTAAGGCTCCCATGGGGGAGGAAGACCGATATGATCACCGGCAATGTCAGGGGCACCAGTGTCGGTGAGGGGAAGCAGATAAACAAGGGGAGGAGACATGGCGGTATAGGAGTGCGAGGAGGTGGGTTGAATGAGGAATCGAGATGGAAGGTGGGTATACGGACGAAAAAGAGGGCGAGGGCGGGGGGAAGGATAGAAAGGGAGCAATACCAGAGATGGGTGGAGGATGGAAAGGGATAGATAAATGAAAGGGGTCCGAAGGCCTGAGAACACGGAGCAGGCTCACAGCCAACCAAGATATTATCCCACTTTAAACATACAAAGTCCGGAGAGGTGAGGGGGGTGAAGGTTGGGGAAGCAGCAATTCGGGTGAGGGGTGGTGAGGGATAATCATCACAATATGCTATCGAGTAAACATGGAGGGGGGGATCAAGAGCTGACTCTCCCACCCGGTTGGACGGGGACAGCCAAAGGTAGAAGCATGACGAGGATCGAGTTTCTACATTCGCATCGTCTGTGATGCTAACCATGCGGGCGTGAATTAGCCTGGGAGAAAATGGATAGGGGGGTTCTGAAGCGGACGAGGGGCTGGGAGGTTGGAGCCGCCGGCAGACAGTGGATGAGATAGGAGCATAGTAGAGGTGTAGTGGAAGATCGGGCAGAGGAAAGTGCGGTGCACATTATACCCGTGCTGCCGGTATGAAGTGCACGTCCCGCGATAACATACAGCATCTCGAGTAGGCACAGATAGGGAGGGTGTGACAGGTGGGGAGGGGAGGATGGGAGGGGAGGACTAGGTGGGGAGCAAACCAAGCGTGTCAACTGTAGTCGCCCAACCCAACTTACGGTCCAGAGGACGGCGGAGCATCATGGGTTCTCGCGAGGGGAAGATGTATTTTGGAGGGGTAAATTCTGGTGAGACAACCATGACTTGGGAGGGGAAGAGGCTCTGCAGCAGGCACCTACCCGTTCCATATTGTGACACCTCGGCCCAATCCCCGCCAATGCCCTTGTTATGCAGGAGGATACCCCCGGCGTTCCGGCGCCGGGATGAGAGTCGTGAGAGAGGCGTATCGTCCAGCACAGCATCGGTCCGGTGTTTCTCCTTGCAAATTCTCCAGTCCGGCTGTCCTCGGATGTCCGTATCGGTAACCCCTGACGTCCAATCTTCAACCTTCCCGCTGTAGTCCGGATGTAAAGTTGAGTTCAACCCTGTGACTGTTTGAGACTGGAGGCTGAGTGGCGGAAGTTTTTGTTTTTTTGTTTTTTCGACGATCCGCCGTTCTCGGAGTGCATCTGCTGGGAAATTGGCCCAAGCGTGGAGGAAATCTTTCATTCCCGCCTGATCTGATGACACGCGCCAATTATGTTCCTGACTAGATGCAGTGCAATTCTCAATTGGCTGTATGTGCTCTATAAGGCTGCGCGGCCCCCCCCTTGCCTGGTGTCCTCGAGCACCGGTAGTAGACCCTCACGCTCCACCCCTCCCCCTCTCCTCTTCCCCTTTACATTTCTCCCCCCACACTGCTCAACCGCCTTCACAATAAGTGTTATTCTTACCCCCTCCAGTGGTTTATCCCACTGTGTCCCTACGGCACTCTAGACTCCACACCCCACCTCACAAAGGTGGCTTCCTCCGAGATCTTACTCTCACGACCGATCCAGTCCTCGTCAGCATCTCATACACCCCCTGCGCTCCGAATTTTTCACTCAAGAAGCAATTGCTCTCCTATCCATACTGTGACCCGGGAAATTAGAATGGGCTCCACACTCCCTTGCCCTCACAGTGAGGAATCATCTGTTCCATTAGCGAGCAATCCTCTCTCAGTGAACTCTAATTCTCCCGCCGTGGGGTCTCGGAGAGGCCAGTCAACGAGTGACGGTTCAATTTATATTCCAAATGGTTGCCGTGATATTTTTGACCAAGCCAAAGAGCAAAAATGCCTCTCATATTCTCACAAGAGCAGCAGCAGTCTCGGAAGTGGGGGGAGTTCCTACCGCTCCGTGTTTGGCTCCCCCAACTCGGACAAGGTTTCTCCGGTCGATCATACGCCTGCTCCTGGGAGCCAGACCAGGCGGTCTTTAACCCTAAGACAGGCCAATCCCATTATTGACCACTGTCTCACACTTCCGGATGAAACTTTCGTTCGAATACTTTCATTCCTGGACCATCGCTCACTGCTCGCTGCCAGGTTGACACGCAAGTCATGGAACGATGTGTGTGTAGAGCACAAATTTCTCAAGTTCCCTCCCGTGTACCGACTTCCGGTTGAATTGGTACAGGAAATTCTCGGCTCCACATCACCTCTTTCCTTCAATGCATCCAGGCATGTATGCAGGGCGTGGTACCTCTCTGCTCTCGAGCCGTTCCTTCTCAAACAGCATCTTGAAGAGCTCGGCTTCCACAATGCTGAAGCCTCAGTGAGGGATTCCCAAAATTCTCGCTACCTCGTCACTCGGCTATCCCGCGAGTGCTCGCTGAGCCCCGACAATACTAAGGGCGGTGGTCTTCGCAACACCGCAATTCTCGACTTGTCGGAGCTGGTTGCTGCTAATCCTGCTAATTTCACAGTCTCTATATGCGGTTCCTACGCCTTATTGAGCGAGGGATGTGTTGTTTATGTTTATCACTTGAAGTCTACGCTAGAGAGGTGGATGGAATACGTTACCTCGGTCGTTTGCCCGCGGAGAGTACTAGCCGTTAGCATGGATACAAGTAGTCAAAGATTCGCTATAGCCATATTGCTCGTACATCCTCTCAAACTTCGCTAACCCCACTGAATGCTCACTAACGAAATTATGGATTAAAAGGACGGACGTATGGGAATCGTTCACGACGTGGTGGAGCAAGAGACAAAGAGTACTTATCGGAATATATGCAGTGAAGAAGATCTACCGAGGAGTGTCGCTATCTGCCCACAGAGACGGTGTGTTGCTTTTGGGTGCCATGGCGGGATTGAGCTGCATTGTGAGTATCTCCTTAGCCCTCGCTACGTTCACCAATCGGCATCTGCATCTAAGACCTCAAAGTTCTTGAACGCTTGCATTGTCCAACAAAATGGGCTACGTCCGCGGTTGATCATGACTGATAATTTCTTCTTAGGGGTTGATGCATTAACAGGGCAAGATCTCAACCGATGGTTCCCATTGACAGCCCCTTCGGATTTTTTATACTTTCTTCCCCCCCGACGCGGCATAGATTCTGCTAAGAAACTGCGTCTCATATCAAGTGCTGTCCACCCCAGGGATATGAGCCCCCTTACCAGGCGCTTCGATGTCAGCCCGGACTCCCGTGCCCTTTCAGACACCTGGGAGCCAAGAGCTGGCCAAAGTGACCATTTCCAGGCTGTACCGTTAAGTGATGGTTCTCACATACTATTCATTGACCCTGAAAGTGGGGGGTTATGCCTGGGCAGTGATGCACCGTTGGGGTATGTTCCCGCTCCCTCTGTCCCTCACCAGGTAACTGTTGCAGGGGAGGGCCCGATGTCTGAGGTACGCATGCTGATAGGGTATTCCCCAACAATAGCGGGCCCACAAAGCTCCTGCGAAAGATTTGGTTGATCCCACCGGGAAGCGTCGTAGGGATGATGACCGAAAGGGAACGCAGTACCAATGAAAGCTTGGGCGCCTCCCATGACCAAAGGATCGGGAAGACCGTCCGACCAAGTGTATACGCTTCAGGGGCCAGTATTAAGCATGGTGTAAGAGTTGTGGCAGCGTACGATGATCACGTGGTACTGTTTTCGGTTCCACCGGATATCTTCTACAGCCCATTTGGGGCAGAGTCCACCGGTGACCAGCTCTCTATCCCGAACCAGCACCCCACAGGCATCCATATTACGAAGGCCCACGAGCCTATCCGGATAACCGGTTACTATATCGACTCGGTCCCTGGACTGGTCGACCTCGCTGTGCATAGTGGATTTGCTCTGGCCATTTATGCGTTTTCTGCCAGTGGGAAGGTGCACGTTTACCAGCTTAAGAAGACTGATGCGACTGTCAATCTGAAAGACCCTTTTAAAATGACAGCTACTAGGTATGGGAAACTAGCTATTGGCCGTTCGAATGGAGAAGACTAGACGCGGGAAATGGGTCCTAGAGCAAAGGATTTGTATGGCTTTCTGCCCCGGGGGCAAGGGCGTCTTGCGAAAGCAATGCAGGTTGTCAAGTGCTGTAGAAACCACCATAGGGGATTCTCTGAATAGCAGGCAAGTGTGCCAACTCTTTCAGGCGTGTATGGGTATCGTTAGGGGTTGAGCCTTAATAGACTTTCTCTTTCACCGCCATAGTGCTCAATAGTCTAGTCTTTTGTTTTTGTTTTTGACTGAAATGAAGCCGAGCCCTTCTGGCGAACCGTAAGGTGGGTGATAATTCCACCCCTCAACCCCCCAGTAATCTTTCCTCATCGTATCCTTGAGTGTCAATGGAAGAATGACGTCCGGAGAAAACTCCCGAGTGAGAATTTGTGCTACGAATGGCAAGTAGGATGGAGCAACTGTCACAATAGGATAGCCATCGCTTTTGCTCTATAGTACTTTTGAGGGCACGTCTGGCTACCGCCGGCCCCGAGAGCGCCGAAACGGCAAAGCTCGAGTTGTGCTCGTACAATACCGCGCACCCCCAATTATTCCAAGTTACCGTAGCACACGGGCAATCTTTACAAATAGAGTTGACGGTAGCACTACACTTCTGACACGGACGAAAGGCAAGCAATGCACAGTACTGTGTCCGTGACCATGCATGCCACGAAAAACTAACCTTGTAAAAGCTATCCAAACATCAAGAAGAAAATGTCCGCACCTGGGCTCAGAATATCTATTTCTAGACATTTTTTCGGAATCGCTCCGATTGGGGGGCTCTCTATAGGAATCCAGAAGCAGTTTAAAAGTGGTCTTGGCATATCTTCCCTTCAAAATCTAGAAAGTCGACTTTTAAATTCTAGACTCTCCAAAATCCGGACCTCCCCCCTCCCTAGTTCAGATATGGGGGGTTCCAAAGCCTGGAAACCTGCATATAGCACAACTGGTCAACCGGCAGCAAGGTCACAGTTCCCCACGAGTTGAGCATTATTTCCCGATATCATACAGAAAACGGAGGACCGACAAGCCGCTCTCGCGATTCGACTGCGCGGAAAATTATTTCCTATCATACCTGTGTCTTCCAGGTCTCACACTTGTGATTTCATCTTGCAGGATGGCAAAAATCCATCAATCCTGGAAATCGCTTTTCCCCCCTACGTGAATGAGCCGTGATCCGGATCTATTTCCCTCCACCTCTCGGATATCCGGACTCTCCATGACAACTCGATTGTCCAAAACACCATCGCCGGGCCCATCAGATTCTCGATGTTCTGCCTTGCAAGGCATGAAACCGGGCTCACATGAACGGAATATTTTCTCCCAAACCTTGGTAACCCCCACCCAGGCCAACTCGACGAAACCAGAAGTGAACTGTTGCCCCGTGTGGGGCTCTACTGTACGATGCGGTGTCACTCGCGATACTATACCCCGTGGGGGGGGTTCCGATATTCGGTAGGCCCGTCCCTCCTCTCCTTGCCTCTGCCGCTATATACAGGTACCTGAGCGTGATGACTCGTCCCAGGCAAGAAGTATTGTGATCCGGGGATGGAGGCTTTGCAAAAGTTACAGCTAAAAGAACAAAAAAAACAATGTCCGTGAGTATCACAGGCTCACTCACCACTCGTATTTTCGGACACTTCTTGCTTGGGAGGAGTATCATGCGGTATTATGGTCGTTCCCTCCACCGCCAGGTATTGACACCTTTGGAAACACCGCACGCATCTACCGCGGACACATAATGAGAGGTGTAGTGTTGAAACCGCTTCTTTGGAGAAGTGCCCGGTGGACCGCTGGGCCGCAGAGGGACAGGTCTCTGAGATTTTTTTTCCCCCCCTCCTTTCAAACACGGGAGCGAATGGCTCTATCAAAGGGTCGCGGTGTTCACCTGGAAACGAACCACTCGGCGCATAAACCCTCCTGCACACGCTGCTTGCTCTCCTCACCGCTATTATGCTGGGAATGCGGGAGTTGTTGTCCTGTACGATATCACCCTCGCCCGCCGGGTACCAGTACGGTTGCCTTGAGCGAGAGTTCCTCATACCGGTACAGCTCGAAGGCTGTCCCTTGGGCCGTCTGAGATGGCGAAGCTAAGTCTGGGTTGGGCAGCAGTTAGCTGAAGCGGGTCCGGAAATGGCCTTCTTATGTCTTTCTAAAGCTCAAATTACTCAGCAGCTTGGTCAGGTCGAGTACGATACCCGGTATTCTCAGCCAATCGGAAGAGAACATTGCCTTTCAGAACGGGCTAAGCGTCCCTGGTAACGAATCTTACCGGCCCAAGGGATGCCTTCTTGTGCGTCCGCGGTAGCTATTCCGGATGGGGTGCTAATACTTGGCGTGGAAACACGAGTGCTATGGTACTCGTACTGTTCTGTCTCGGCGAGTATCCAAGCTTGGCACTAGATTGCGGGTGGTGGGGCAACTTTCAGCTGACCAACTTGCTTCCGACCGTTTTTTTTTTCTTTCCCCCCTGTTTCACTCTCCATCCAAACTTTTCTCCTCCTGTTTTCTTCACGGCAACTACGAATCCCTCTCCGAAGACAGAAGCCCTTCACAGTGACCTAATAGCAATCACTGGGACTTATTTAACCTGGCAGTTCGCGCAATGGCGGTAAGTTGGTTTCTTTATCTCCCTCTACACCAGCTTTAACATTGCAATACGATTACCTCTACCACGATGCCTGGGCGGTATTATTCTCATGGGCATTCTCCCTCCTCACCTTACAGCCACTTTCGAGCTAACGATGCCCCTCCGGTCGTCAAAAAAAAGAACTACTATATCGAGAATAAGAACGTCGGAGATAGGACCAATTCGGAAGATTGGCGTATCTGCGGATACAATCCATTGACCCCGCCGGACCTACTCCAACATGAGCTTCAACAGACCAGCAACTCAAAGGCTACCGTATTGAGGGCCCGCGAAGAGACTGTTGCCATTCTTCACTCCAAGGATCCGCAACATCGTCTCCTCGTCGTTGTTGGGCCATGCTCCATTCATGACCCCATTGCGGCTCTCGAGTACGCCAATCGCCTTCTCCCTCTCAAGGAGAAGTACCAGAATGAGCTCCTCATCGTGATGCGCGCCTACCTCGAGAAGCCGCGCACTACCGTCGGGTGGAAGGGGCTCATTAATGACCCGGATATCGATGGCTCTTTCCAGATCAACAGAGGACTCAGGATTAGTAGGCAGTTGTTCATTGATCTTACCGAACTTGGCATGCCACTCGCTAGTGAGATGCTCGATACCATTTCCCCGCAATTCCTTGCGGATATGCTGAGCGTCGGTGCTATTGGTGCCAGGACTACCGAGAGTCAGCTACATCGAGAGTTGGCGAGTGGTTTGAGTTTCCCTGTTGGGTTCAAGAATGGAACCGATGGAAGTTTGGATATCGCAATTGATGCAATTGGAGCGTAGGTTCTACCCTCCTTTTACCCGATTGCCTAAAGCTGATGTTTGTATGCGGGTAGTGCTAAAGGCTCTCACCACTTTTTGTCTGTTACCAAGCCCGGTGTCGTCGCAATTGTGGCCACAATTGGCAATGAGGATTGTTTTGTTATTCTCCGCGGCGGGAAGAAGGGAACGAACTATGATGCGGCAAGTATCAAGGATTCAAAGGAGAGGCTCCGCGCGAAGAAGACCCAGGACAAACTTATGGTTGATTGCTCTCATGGTAACTTCGCACCAGTGTTCCTACTCACCGCGAGACGCTAATCTTGCCCCAGGAAACTCCGAAAAGAACCATCTCAACCAGCCCAAGGTCGCTGCTTCGGTTGCAGAACAGCTCCGTAACGGCGAGGACTGTATTATGGGTGTTATGATTGAGTCCCACATCAACGCTGGCAACCAGAAGGTGCCGGAGGAAGGAAAGGCTGGCCTCAAGTATGGGGTCAGCATCACAGATGCCTGTATTAATTTTGAGGATACCGAAGGCGTCTTGGAGATGCTTGCGGATGCGGTCAAGGCTAGGAGAGAGCTATGGAAGAGCGGGCCGGATGTCGACCTCGCCGACAGCTGATTCTGTATAGGTCCGGCGGGTGGGCTTTAGGGATTTGAACTTTTGTCTTGTTCTTTTGGGTACCCATGGCTCCTTTAGCTGTTTTCCGCTTTGTCAGAAAGCGGGGTAGTCTCGTTCCCGAAATTTCTACCCTGTGTTATTTTCCGTGATGTGTTCAAACTCTTTACAGGCGGCTGGTTTTCTTGGAGGGGAAGGGGGTTTTCTTCGCGATGAACTTTAGAGAATTAGATTAACAATCGCACAAGTACGATTCTGGTAAACTGTCTAGGTAAAATTTGGGTATTGTAATTGGAATTCTTTCATACCGGTAATTTGGAAGAGAAAAAGGGGAGAATAAACCGTCGTCCAGACCGTGATCTTTGGTGCAAAAAGCGTGCCTTTTCCCATTTGCGAGGTGCTTATCATATGTCAGACAAAGGTATTGTTCCCAACCCTTAGCCAATCAGAAGGCCCGCATACCGGTATCCCCTCCATCCGGCTTTCAGGAAATTTGAAACATCTCATCTTTCCCACCTCCCCATCAGGCCCTAGCCACTTGGATCCATCGTCACCTCGCCTCTCCTCTCCCTCCAATACCCCTCCCCAATCATACGTGACCTGGACACACAATGTTCTCCCGATCGTGCCTTCGCTCGGGAACGGTCCTCAAGAATGTGGTGAGACAGTCAACCAGGGTGATTCTCCCTTCCCCTCCTCAATTTTCTCCCACCCCCCCCCCTCCTTCGCGCAATCGCTAGTATCTAATGGAACGCATTTCCACAGAGAACTACATCGACAAATACAGGCAATGCGGCCAATGGCGACAGAGGATTGAACATTGCCGGCACTCTATCTACAATTGCGGCGGTCGGAAGTATTGGATTATACTATCAGCAGTATGGATTCGGTTTTTCGGAGGCGCACGCTATGACCATGGCTGAGGAGGGGTACGTTGTATACCATTTGGTGTTGGGTACTAGTGACTAACGGTGATGGATCAGGTTGCACCCGCCGCATTACCCGTGGGAGCATCAAGGTTGGTTAACGACTTTTGACCACCAAGCGTCAGTGCTCCCATCCCCACCGGAGCCCTCGGGATAACTACTGACGAACATATACAGCCTCCGCCGTGGCTTCCAGGTTTACCGTGAAGTATGCGCTTCTTGCCACTCCCTCTCCCGCGTTCCGTGGCGCGCTCTAGTCGGTGTCTCCCACACCGTCGACGAGGCCAAGACCATGGCGGAGGAGGTTGAGTACGATGACGAACCCAACGACGTTGGAGAGATCGAGAAGCGCCCGGGCAAACTCTCGGATTACGTTCCCGACCCGTATCCTAATGAGCAGGCTGCACGTGCTGCTAACCAGGGAGCCTATCCTCCCGACTTGTCCCTCATGGTAAAGGCCAGACATGGCGGCTGCGATTACATATTTGCACTGCTCACAGGATACCCGGACGAGCCTCCGGCCGGGGCGGTGGTTCCAGAGGGGTTGAATTTTAATCCCTACTTCCCAGGAACCGGTGCGTGTCCCCCCGATTCGTAAAACAGATTTATGGGGATGCTAAGATGTATTCAGGAATTGCCATGGCAAGAGTCCTGTACGACGGCCTAGTAGAGTACGAGGACGGAACCCCGGCCACTACCTCCCAGATGGCCAAGGATGTTGTCGAATTCCTAAACTGGGCCGCCGAACCGGAAATGGACCAAAGGAAGAAGATGGGCATGAAGGTCATCATCATCACCACCGTCCTTACGGCGCTCAGTATCTGGGTTAAGAAGTACAAGTGGGCTCCAATTAAAGCCAGAAAACTGGTACCTCTTCCCCCTTCCCCTGCACTCCACTGTCGCACCACTAACAATTAAAATCCAGGTCTACAACCCACCAAAGGCATAAATCCCCCCCCCCACAAAATATGCTTTAAACCTAAAATAGATTGTTACGTAAGCAGCAATGGGGGAAATACCGGCATCTACTGTGGAGAGCGGGGGAATGTCAGATAGAGATTTTATTAAAAAAAAACCGAAAACGTATGCAGTTGTTGCTGCCGTTCGCTCTTTTCCTTTTATTTTTCATTTTTCATTTTTCATTTTTTCTCTCTTTCCCTACTTTCTATCCCGCTTCCTCTGTGCCGTTCAAGTGTACAGCTATACATCCTTCCGGAACTACCGGCGTACAGTACCTGGGCTGTCAAGGCACCAGTATGGGGGGAAGGGAGGGTGAAGACACAATTGCATCAGGTTGCTGTATACACTTCACGAGCAAGCGCACCCGGGCTATGATGCTCGGTAGCTACCGTAAGGTACCCAGTGATGTTTAAAATAATAATCGGGACAAGGGGTATCTAACTGGAAGAGTAAGTTAGGTTGCGGCTATTTTCAGAAAACTAGGAATGATAGCTCTGGAGGCATTTGCTGTGCCAAAAATCGCTAAAAACCGGTAGAATGCATTGTTGCACCCTTATTACTTCTTCCTGATCTTTTCCCCCTTCCTTTTTTCTGATTGACCGAACGCCCACTCAACATGCTGGGATGTCCTGGTGGCGGCATGCTTTTCCGGTGGTGGCAGACTGTACGGGTATTGTACTGTACTAGTACTCGTGCATTACTCGAGTACTCAGGTACTGCGCTTGTATTTCTAGCATACCGGTATCATACCGTACTCGAGTACTCGAGTAAAGTATCATATATACCTGCCGCAGAGCCCGGGGAGGTTTTTTTTTTTCTCCCCTCTTAGTGTGCATTACAGTAATACGGTAGAAGGATTTTCAGATACCCTCTAACCAGATACCGGTAGGAGTGTTCACAAACAAAATCCATCCATCTTCCTCTCTTGCCACAGGGCGAGTATCATTGGAAGGCTCGATTTTGACATCTCATGAAACCGAGGTTCAATTCTTATTTTTATTTTTTTACTCAACAGCCAAGCCCGCAAGATGGAAAAAGGAAAAAAAAACCTGTCACCGGAACTTTATCATTCGAATCGTGATTCTGCGGTCTGCGGGTCAGCCTCATCCTCAGCCTCAATGGCGAAAGAAATTTTTCCAGGGCACGCGGGTAGATTATAGTACTTGTACTCGTACTCGAGTACTCGAGTACTCCTACCTTAGGCTGACCCGTCCACCGAATTTATGATACCCGAGAAGGAAGGAAGGAGGGAAGGAAGGAGGGAAAGAGAGTGTTCTCACTTGAACCCACTCGCACTGTGAACCTCAGGATAAGTCTACAGTACCAACAATACCGGTAGTACTGAGTATTGCACGAGAAGATCCCATCTGCAATATTGTATCATTCCATCGATCCCCGTGCACGCGACACAGAAACAGGCGAGGGAAAGAAAAAGAAAAAAAGAAAAAAAAAGAGAGCTCTTTTCACACGTGTTCTGTTTGTCCATCGAGTAAAAAGGAAAGGGAAGAAAAAAGGGCAAATTTTTTTCTTCTCCTTCTTTTCCTCCTTGGCAGAGATACGGTACGGTACTTAAGAAAGGTGAGCAGAGGAATGGAGGAGGGAGGGAAGAGAAGACTTTGTTGGCTAGTCCGCATATTCGCGTCCCAACAAAAGTTTTTGCTTGCCTGTCTTGATCTGATCCTCGTGCCCTGTCCTCGTCATATATATTATGGGTTCTGCAACGGCTGTTCGGAGACTCAACCTTTTGACTAGGACTATAGGGACTGGAACTCGGATTGGAAGTATGAAGCATCGTGTTACCGTTATCGGGTCAGGGAATTGGTGGGGATTCTCTCTCTCTCTCTCTCTCTCTCTTTTTCCTCCCCCCTTTCTTCCTTGATTCCCGTGAGCTAATTAGGATGCGGATAGGGGGAGTGCAATTGCAAAGATTGTAGCGGAGAATACGAAGGCTAATCCCGATGCTTTTCACGAGGAGGTCAAGATGTTTGTTATCCTGGGAGCCATCCCTCCCTCCCGCCTTTCCTCGAGTAGTATGACTGATCGACTGACTGGTGATGGTGACGATGGCAGGTGGGTGTTTGAGGAACAATACCAGCTCCCGTCCTCGCACCCTCGCTACGACAAGAGCAAGCACTCCGGGCCTCAGAGCCTGACCAGCATTATCAACTATATTCACGAGAATCCAAAGTACCTTCCCGGCATCACTCTCCCCCCGAACCTGTTCGCCACGCCGTCGCTCCCCGACGCCGTATCCGAGGCATCGATCCTGATTTTCAACGTGCCGCACCAGTTCGTTTCCAGCATTTGCCGGCAGATCAACGGGTCCTGCCTGCCCTATGCTCGAGCCGTTTCCTGCATCAAGGGTGTGGATGTCTCGCCGGATGGGATTAGCTTGTTCTCGGATACGATCGGCCGCAAGCTAGGAATCTACTGCGGGGCCTTGAGCGGCGCAAACATCGCTTCCGAGGTGGCGGCAGAAAAATTCTCCGAGACAACCGTTGCGTACGCTCCCCCGGAGGGCCCTACCGGTGACTTTCCCCAGGGCCTGACGCCAGTCCCCGAGGAGCTCCCCGCCGTCGATCACGTGCTCCTCAAGACTTTGTTCCACAGGCCGTACTTTCACGTCCGCGTCGTGAGCGACGTTGCCGGTGTCTCCCTCGGAGGAGCTTTGAAGAACATTGTTGCACTGGCGGCTGGGTTTGTCGACGGCTTGGAGTGGGGTGATAACGCTAAGGCTGCTGTGATGCGTGTGGGGCTTCTCGAGATGCGCAAGTTTGGTAAGATGTTCTTTAGCCAATCATGCAGGAGCGCCACCTTCACGGAGGAGTCGTGCGGTGTCGCCGACCTGATCACCTCGTGCAATGGAGGGCGCAATCACAAGTGCGCCAGGCTTAGCGTGCGCACCGGGAAGAGCATCGAGACAGTCGAGAGCGAGGAGTTGAACGGACAAAAGTTGCAGGGCACCATCACGGCCAGGGAGGTCAACGTCTACTTGAAGAACAAGGGACTCGAGGATGAATTCCCGCTTTTCACGGCCGTTTACAAGATTCTCAATGGGGAGACCAACGTTAGTCATCTATCCCTCTCCTACCTCTCCTTTATCCGCTGGCTAATTACCAACTCGGTATGTGATGCGCAGGTTGAATCTTTACCCCAGCTGATAGAAACTGATTAGCGATTATATGATACCCGGTGCCATAATACATCGTTGCTTTTTCTTTCTTTTTTTTCTTTTTTTTGCTTCTTTCATAACTCGTTACGCTAAAACAGTAATGTGTGATAGGTGGAATGGGGTTGTTGGGTTGCTTGGTGGTTTCCTGTATCCTTTTGTAACGGCTCCATATCAGCCCGTTCCGTGCCATAGCATACCGGTGGCGCAAGAAGTTCTGGAGGATGTGTATAGGCATCCCCAAAAGGGTTTTTGAGCAAGAGAAATGGAAATTTTGAAACCAGGTTTAAATCGTTAGAGAGTCCCTACCGGGACCAACAGCCAATTGGTAAATTCGTTGGGAAGGCGTTTGCCCGCTCATTCTCTACGAGCAAAGATTCATGGTGGAAGGGCTTCCTTTCGCTTCATTGAGGGAGAGACCAAGTTGGTTGATTGGTTGCATAATAGCAGGGGAAAAAAGGAGGGGGGCCAATGCCATGGTTCCGTCTTTTTTTTCTTTCTTTCGAGTGCTTTCTGCCTCGCCCCCAAGGCCACCCACCACAGTTTGTGATCACAATTCCCAGGGTATGGTACAAGCACATGCACGATGCTCTACATCCGGCTGCCAGCGCCGGGGTTGGACAGAGAAGCCCAGCGGAGAAGAATTGTCCCGTGTCCCGAACTCCCTGGCTCTCGGCCGAGCATGCCGACAGTCTTCCTCCCCTCCCGGCTCGGAGCACTAAGTTACCCTCCCACGGGTGGACCATGCGAGCGGTAGACTAGAGTATAAATTGGCCTCACTCAGAAAGCCCAAAACTCCCCATTACATTACCAGCGCTACTGCCACCACGGACCCAGCATGACCGAAAAGGCCCCCCTCCTCACCCACACCACCAGCCCCACCACCACCTCACCAAAAACTATCAACTACCTAGCCTACGGCTCAAACCTGAACTCCAAAACACTGACCGACACCCGGCACATCCACCCACTGAACGCAACCCCCGTACGCGTTCCCAGCCTAACGCTAACATTCACGCTCCCAGGCCTACCATACATCGAGCCCTGCTTCGCGAATGTCCGCCCCCGCCTCCCGCTCCCGCCACCACCGGCGAAGCAGGAGAGGGAACTACTGGGCGTGGTATACAGCCTCAGACGAGAGGACTACGCCAATCTCATCACGAGCGAGGGTGCAGGGGCCGGATACCAAGAGGTAACAGTCACTTGTTATCCCCTCAATACCCCTTCGCCCACCGGTAGTAAGGAGATTACCGCCCGGACACTGCTCTGCCCGGAGGATTCGAGTTCTGGGGAACTGACCCGCGCGGGCGGCCAGCCGTCGGGTAGGTACTTGGGGCTGATCCGGGCGGGGGCGCGCGAGCGGGGGTTGCCGGATTCGTATGTGGAGTATTTGGATGGGTTGAGGGAATACAGGATCACCAGGGTTGGGCAGTCTGTTGGAAAGATTGTGGTATTGGCGGTTTGGGGGCCCGTGGTGGCTTTGATTTTGTTGCTTAATTGGGTTTTCGGGAGGGAGGGTGGCGGCGGTCGGGCGCCGGAGTGGGTTCTTGCGTTTGGGAGGAGGGTTATGGGCGGTGTATGGGGGTGCTATGATGCGGTTTTTGTCAAGGTTTTTGGCGACGGAGAGTGTACCGAGGGGGAGGCACCCGATTTTGTTGCCGGTGAGAAGAGTGGTGGGGTCGATGTGGAGATTTCGGAGGTGGGGGGTGAAATGTAGAACCTATCCTTCATTTCTTTCATCAACTGCGTAACTAGGAATATCAGAGTAATAGACGTTTTTGTTACCCTACCGATACCTTGACGAATTCCCTGTTTGCCCTGCTTTTTCATCGCGCCATTGAAAACCATAGGCTAGCCCAACCAAGCGGGAGCACGGCCGTAGCAAACCACCCACCACACACCAATATTCCATGCTAATAGCACCTCATAAAATTAAATTTACCCCCGCCCAATCCACCTCACAAAACATCACTCGCTACCGACCAACCCCAAAATAACCCATCAAGTTAACCATTGACAATACCTCCCCCCCCCTCCCATCATGGGCATGATATGATATGATAGTACCGGCACTGTACTCTACGAGTAGTTTTGAATCGGCGGTTGCGGATACGGACGGGCGGGAGCGGTGGGCTAGTCCATGCATGTGGGTAGGAGCGGGTGTTGCGAGGATGGTACAGTACAGTACAGTACAGTACGGTGCCGTATGATAAGTTAGAGGTTAACTTGACTTCTAACTTAGAAGCTTGGTATTGTCTCGTGACTTGGTCTACTGGCTGGTATCACACAATACTTGACTATATTACCATTATTATTATTATTATTATTATTATTATTATTATTATTATTATTATTATTATTATTATATCCGGAAGTGACCTTTTCCCCACAGTGGAAAAAAAACTGGAGGGCAAATCGCATTGTCGATGTTGTGACTGGTAGGGTACCGTATCGTACCGTCCCGACCCGGCCCGGCCTAGCCCCTCGATAATGATTCTTTTTTTTTGTTGTTGGCGGGGTTGGGTGGTGAACGGCGTGGGTGGGTGGGTGGGCTGGGGGAGTCGGACGCTGTCATGGTTCAAGTTCGGTCTTATATATGATGGATATTATAGTCTGACGTATGATAACATGAAGGGAGTTAACCTTCGGTATCAAGTCATGTATTCCCCACAAGCATTAGCTGACGTATCATACTCGAGTACGTACCGTCACCATGGAAAACCACAGAGCTGGTCAAGTTAGTATTATCATATCTGGATAACTAAATTGTTCTTTTTTTGTAAAAAATAAAATATTATATGGCAATTATTAGATTTCACTTGTGCCCCCATGGTAGATAGGGATGCTTCTTCGCTTGTGATTTGAAGGTCGTGAGTAACCGAACGGGGGGGTCACAAACGCCGGAAGGTATAATACGGTACGGTACAGCAGAGCAGCTCCCCAGTCGCCCCGGCGCTGGCGCCCTGCTACCGGGTAGGTTAGGGAAATTCGCATCGCGGAGGAACGGGATATCGTATCATACATACCACGGAAGAGCGGGGGAACCAATGGACCAGGGGCCGATGTGGGAAATCGGGGAGGAGGGGGGAGGAATGCACTATGTATCATCCGAGCCGGAGGGTTCGTTGGACCGCCGGGAGTGTGATAATTTTATGTTATCTTATCTTATCCACATGTCTACGCATCCGGGACAACTATCGGCCCAGAGTTTTTTTTTTTTTTTTTACAGACATATGGCGTCCCCGCAGCATCATTCCTATTCGTATACTCCCTTTCTCACCTTTGGCCCTCTACGCTTAACTTAAATCCCCGCATTTACACTCATATTCACTACCCATCACTCGATCCTTCCTATCTGCACTGACACTGACCTGACGTCCAATCCCAACAGCCAACTACCCCGATCCGTGGAGCGGCGAGTGAACACCGGAAACATTGTGTGACCCTATCTATATACCACAATTTCTAGAAAATAAGTGAGTCATTTTTTTCCCCGCTGGGAAGGGCACTTGTGCGGGGAGGAATTGGCCCGGTTCCACGGGTATGGTGAATTTGGGGCGTGAGACATTCTCTCTTCACTTAATTACAATACTCCTGAAATACAGAACGTTGCGGATGCATCTGCGGAGCTGGGGGGGGCATGCGTGTATGTTAAGTCCAGTAGTAAGGTGCATTGCGGATTCACACTAAATGGCCGACCTAGAAAGGTATGAAAAGATAAATTTTTGCCCTAGACCGTTCCCGCTTTTATCGTGGCAACGCCTAGTTTACGTCTGTGGTTCAAAGTAAAGAAGAAAATGTAGAGATGAATGAAGCATTCTGGGAAGGAAGGAGATCTAACTATTAGGGGCGAGGAAAATAAGGGGAAGGTGAAATAGAAGGGGCAAAAACTAAAACTGCACTAAACCGGAGGGTAGAGTAGTAGTGAATCCCCGCACTATCTTCGGCTCTTGGCTCAATAAAAGAAAATCCACAAATCACAACCCCATCGCACAAACAAAGACTTGAAGGGATCTGGGGGGGGGTATGATATGTGTATGGGTGTGCGGGAGGGTTCCTTCAGCTATCTAAAATACGGGGTTAATTCCAAGCCTAACATTTAGGAGAAAAGAAAAATTAGAAGGGAAAGTGGAGGAAAGTAAGGAAAGGGAGGGAAAGGAAATAGGTAGATGTGCCCAGGAAGGTATCCCAGACCTGTAGTGGGTCACAGAGACCAGGGGAAGGGCAGCAGCCATAGGAGTGGGTGCGTCTGCGATGGAGTCGCTGCGGGGGTGCCAATATCCGAGTTTCAAAAGGGTCTTAGAGGCAAGGAGGGAAGGAAGAAATTGGGGCAGTCGTAGAGTTCTGGCGGCTGTAGTAATTGCAGCACTCCTGTATGGTTGTTCATAACAGCATAGCGGAATGGCGTTCTACCCCCGTTTTCCGGCATACAGGGGTTGACGTCTCTCCGCCCCAGTAGCAGCTCTACCATCCCCACTTCTCCCCACCCAGCAGCATAGGAGAAAGGTGTCCTCCCCCTGTTATCTGGCGTGTTGGGGTTGACGTCTCCCCGCCCCAGTAGCAGCTCCACAACTCCTTTACGTCCCCGGCGGGCGGCAAAGGAGAATGGTGTCGTGCCCTTATTGTCCTGCCTATCGGGGATGACAGTTTCTTGCCTTAGCAGTAGGTTCACAACTCCTTCATGTCCCCACTCAGCAGCATGGGAGAGAGGTGTTCTGCCTTTTTTGTCCGGCCTGTCGGGGATAACATCTTCCCGTCTCAGCAGTAGTTTCACCACCCCTTCATGCCCCCTCCGCGCAGCATGGGAGAAAGGTGTTCCGCCTTCGTGGTCTGACATGTCGGGGATGACGTCCTTCCGTTGCAGCAACAGCTCCACCACCCCCCCGCGTCCCCACCCAGCAGCATAGGAGAGAGGTGTCTTGCCATTTTTGTCTGGCCTGTCGGGAATAACATCTTCCCGCCTCAGAAGTAGTTTCACCACCCCTTCATGTCCCCTCGCGGCAGCGTGGGAGAAAGGTGTTCCGCCTTTGTCATCTAGCACGTCGGAGATGACATCGTTCTGTCCCAGTAGTAGTTCTACCACCCTTTCATACCCCCCCCTGGCAGCGTAAAAGAGCGGTGTTCTGCCATTGTTGTCTGGCCCGTCGGGTATAACATCTTCCCGTCTCAGCAGCAGTTTCACTACCCCTTCATGTCCATTGTAAGCAGCCCAGAAAAGTGGCGTTCGGCCTTCGTAGTCTCGCCTGTCGGGGACGACATCTTTCCGCCGCAGCAGTAGCTCCATCACCCCTTCTTGTCCCCACCGAGCAGCATAGGAGAGAGGTGTTCTACCTTTGTTGTCTGGCCCGTCGGGTATAACATCTTCCCGCCTCAGTAGCAGTTTCACCGCCACTTCATGTCCATTGTGAGCAGCCCAGCAAAGTGGCGTTCGGCCTTCGATGTCTGGCTTGCCGGGGACGACATCTTTTAGTTCGAGCAGTAGCTTCACCACCTCCCCATGTCCCCGCCCAGCAGCATAGGAGAGGGGTGTTCTGACTCTGTTGTCCGGCGCGTCGGGGATGATACCTTCCTGCCCCAAGAGCAGCTCCACCACCCCTTTATCACCATTGCGAGCTGCCCATGAGAGCGGCGTAGCCCCTATGCCATCTGTTCGGTTGATATCCGCCCCCACCAAAGCAGCCACAAACTCTGCAATTCCAAAGAAGCATGCACAGTGCATTGCACTGGACAATAAAGGGGTGCTGACCTCCCTGGTGCGGTCAGGATGCACCACTTGTTGGGAAAGCAATTCAGCGGCTATGTGGTTCTCGTACTGATCCAGAAAATCTAGCGCGAGACGCTTCCCGTTATCCGAGAGTTCCTTTTTCGCATGAGTTCCCCAATATCTTGAAGAGTATTTAAGAAAAGGCATGCTCTGGAGGTTAGAGATGGATTTTGGCGAAAGGTCCTTGACCTGGCGTGAGCTTAGATATGTCAAACACGTTTCCGCCATGGTCGAGTGAGCCCCAGGAAACAGGCCTGGCTGAGCAGAAAGATACTCTTGAAGAGTAAAGTGGATCAATCGTACGGTAGATGCTTCCCCATCTACAGCAATCAGGCCTTGACAGCATGCCAGTAATGTATTTATTAAAGGAACATTGTCGGGGTCGAAATCCGCTGATCCTGTCTCCACTGCAAGAGCATGGCACAGCTCGCCCACCTCCAATGGCCGTTCCGAATAACATATCCACATTAGGGTGGCCATCGAAAGCTTTGCCTTCTCCTTGCCTTGAGCGTTTATCCTTTCCAGGCTTGCACCGTATGCATCCTCTAACCCCAAGCCATCTGTCATTGCCTCGAGTCTCCTTCGCCTCAGGGAGATTGTTGGTTCTCGCAGGATTGCCTCAATATGGAGAGAAACCAGCAGAAATCTAGGTTTGAATCTATCAGCCAATAATTCAAGCTGGCTTCTATGGTGCCCCAAGCCCTACATACGTTTCTGGGTTCGTTTCGGGGATGCTCTTCACAATTTCTGCCTTCAGCCTACTGTCCATTATCTCGGGCATAGTGTCACTGCTCGTTCTCGCATGCAGATACGTAGTAATATCGTCTTGGGTAGGCTTTATCGATACGCTCGCTGCTGCGAAGCCAAGTGGCCTCTCAATATCAACCCGGATATGTGACCTCCCAGTCATGAATAATCGGGTGTTTGGCGATGTTCGGAGGAGCCGGCTTAGAGAGCCAAGAACCTCGAGTCGATGCGCTGGCACACATTCGTCGATAGCATCAATGCATATGAAGGTGCGCTGTGTGGATGAAATACTCTGAAAGAGATGAACAATTTCAGGGGGCTGCAGCTCTCGACCACCCAAGTTCCTCTTCTGATCATGAAATTCCCGCACTATCTCACCTGGAAGCGTTTCCAGTCCACTCAGATGCTGTTTCAGGAGGGAGCCTAGCATATTCTTTGGGCACTGCTCCTCCCGGGCAGCAAAGTCAAAGTAGAAACCAGTGACAACTATGTTTTGTCCTCTGCGCCGCTCGCATAGAGTGTCTATCACCAGAGAGCTAGCACCGTAACCGTAAGCAGGTACCTTTCTCTGCCTTCCCCTCAATATAACCAACTTACGTGAGGTAACTCTTGCCGACTCCCGGGTGGCCATGGCAGAATAACATCGCACGATCAGATTCATCTTCCCCGCAACCATTATACCAGCTTATGAACTCCTTGGTTTGAAGGAACCAGTCTCCTACTCCGTTCACCCGCCTGGCCCGAATGTCTTGATGCCGTACTCGAGGCTCTAAGGGGGACAGCCAGGCCAGGATTTCAGACCGATTATCGGCAACAGTATAGTTGATGTTAGCCGACAGATTGAAGGAGCCATCGATGTTGAAGGAGTTGTTATTATTGGACAAAATTCGAGACATTTTTTCTCCCTGGCCGCCGGGGATGCTGGAGATAACAGATTAGCTTGGGCGGATTGCTGAAACTCCCGGATGTAGAGGGAAAGCGGGTTTTATTTCAAAGCCTTGTTGCTCGCTGGCTACAGCCAAACGAATATGTGGGCTGTCCATGAAGCTAGCACCCCAGCGCTTGGATTTCTGCGGCGTCCAAAAGGTGGAGGCTCCACAACTCGCCTCGGGCAGCCAATCTCACAAGTGGCGCACTTCCGCGCATCAAAGCGAGGATTTAATTGAGCCAGGTCTTCCTCCTGACAATTAGCTTCACCAACATATTATTAATGAGTATCCATTGGTATTTCCACGCGCCCGGGGAGGTATCGGGCCGACGGCAGTTCCCGCCATCACAACCAGTTTTCTTCTCTTGCATCCGAACCCCACGACCGAAGTGGGGAGAGCACCGCATGGTAGACAAAATGCTAAGCTTCTGTACTTATACTCGAGTACATACCTCTATACCGCAATACCTTAAGTGCTACCGTCTCGCGCTCCTTTCTTCAACACTTTAATTCTAATATCTTATCAGGTCATTAGTCTATCTCAGCCGGTATCTTGGAGGACCGTAGGGGAGAGAGGGGGGGGGGGAGTACTGCATAGAGGATAGTGATCTTGTTTCTTCAGATAACATTTATGATGGTTTGTATTATATGATAGAACGGGTTTATATCCTGTCATATATGCACAGTACATATACAGCGATTATGCCAAGCCAGTAGCTGCAACGACCAGGGTAACAGGACAGCCATAGTACTCGAGTAAATTGAATCAGAAAGCGGATTTCCGGGTGCGAGAATATGATAGATGCCCAAAACGTTGGAGGGCCTGTTTCTTGGCGTCTCTCACCTCGGAATTCGAGCAACTCCCTCCGTTATACAGCGAATATTAGTAAAGTTTCTCATGCCCTTCCTTGTAAATCTATGATACTGTACCAAGAGCCATCTACCAATAAATATAAAGACCAAGAGAATGGCAGGAGTCTTTAGAGAATAGTTTTTTGTTTTGTTTTTCAATATCCCTCGAGGGGACATTGCAAACTCTCACGGCAATTTGTTCAATGATATCATCGTCCCGAAACAAGAAAACGGGAGCTATTAGCGAAGCGCCTCCCGAGGGCAAAGTGGTAACTTGTCATACCTGGAAGGGTATGATATGGGAACTTTGCGTGGCAGTTGTATTAATATCATGCGCTACGGTCGACGGTGAAGTAGGCCTGCTACTATCCTACTTGCATATACTTGAGTATGATACAGAGCCTGTAAGCTGACATGATATTCGGGGTTGACCCTTTCAGTATTGGTATTGGACGGGCGGATCACTTAAAAGGTTGGATTTGAATAAGCCTGGATGGGATAGGTTCAATGCTAATAGCTAATAGTAGTATAACAGTCCTGAAGTTTTTGCCTCTACCCCCCCGACTTCAATTCGGCGGCATGGGTATCGCAGAGGTTTTGAATTATTTTCTGGACTAGTGGTCCTGCAAGCTCATAACATCTAGCCCATAGCGGGTTTCCGCCTGGGGTTAAGGCAACCGTTCATGATGATATGTTGGAGAGATTTGAATAGGATTTTAGGGATAGGAACACAGCCCCAGCATGTTGTTTTACTAACGTCACTCTGTCATATCATAGTAAAGTTAAGGCCGGGTTGTCCCAGAGGACCCCCCCCCCCTCGTTAACGACCAATAACGGAGTATAATCCATATCTGTTTACAATATCCCCCTGATACTCAAATCTACAATGTATACAAAAAGTCCGGCCTCCGATCCCCTAGATACTCTACCTCCTTCACGTTGAGCCCTTGGACCCAAGCATCCCTCTGTCCATTCCTCCTCTTCTCGTTCTCTCTCCTAAGTAGAGCCAAGTTCAGTGCACTTCCGCCCAGCAGCCCAATCGCAAGGTACCCCAACACGATCCCGTGGCCTAGCCTGTAATGCGGTGCGTCCACCTGTCTATAGACATTGCTGCTCATGACCCCATTCAAATTCCCCCAGCCAATCACGAATCCCAGTGTGACCCCACGCTTATACACCCCTTCGACATTATTCGACACCCAGGTAATGGTATTCGGAATGCAAGGGTAGATACCGAGTGCGCTCAAGAAAACCGCCACGTAGCTCAGCGCAGCGGAATTCGACCCCAGGAGAATACTAAACCCCACAACGCCCAGCAGTGAAGTGGTGATATTGAACATCCCACGACGACCACTACTATCAGCCCGCCAACCAACCAGAATTGTCAAAACGCAAGCAGCAGCATACGGTGGCACGCTGAGCAACTGCGCGCGCGTGGCGGAGTACCCCATCTCTTTGATAATGGAGGGCAAGAAAAGACTGAATGCGTAGAGGGCCCCGTCCACGCCCATATATATCAGCATACCGGTGTAGGTTTTCCAGTCCTTGAGAGATTGCCAGAGGTAGAGCATTTTGAAGTCTTCGTGTTCCGCCGAGGATTGTTGATCGTCGCGAAGGCGGCGGAGGACTCTCGCGCGGTCTTCGGGAGAGAGGAATTTGGCGTCGTCTGGGAAGTCGACTACCACCCAGAAGGAAATCACCCCTATGATGACCGTTGCGAGGCCTTCGAGGATCTGCGAGGGGGTTTAGTGAGGGCGGACAAGGTGCGGAGGGGAAAGTTACAAAGATCCAGGCCCAACCGCGCTTACCAGCTATACCGTCCATCTTGGATATAGCCGCTGCGAGAAGACCGCCGAAGGATCCCGAGACGGCGGCAGCGGAGAACTGGCACTCATCAGTGGCGGGGTGATGTGCATGGGGGAATTTATAGGAGCACGTACAAAGATTGCGGCGCGGATACCAAACTCCCGGCGTTTATACCAACAAGATAGATAGTAGTTGACTCCCCTGCCACAGGATGCTTAGCGACAGTCGGCCTATTGAAATTGGCGGAAGACAACTCACGGGAAAAGGCCCTAATCCAGCCAAAGCGCCGCAGCATGAGTGACACTCCGTGACACGAAATCGGACAGGTATGATATAACAAAAACTCACAGCCTCAGTCAATCCCAAAAACCTATGCCACAAAAAGTTGTCAGCCCCGAGCTCTGCTTCGTAGTTAAGAGAAAAATGAATACGAGCCCTCGCATCCGGGAACAAACCATCTAGCAGCCATCATCCCCGAAAAGTTGTGACAAAACCCCATGAACGTCATACAAATCCCCCAGAGCACCATTATCAAGGGGATATAAATCCTTGGCCTCATCCGCTTCAACAGAATATTCGAGACTGGTTCAAAGAGCTTCCCCCTAGTTAGCCTTGTGCTGCGCCTCTCTCAGCAGCATAGCCAGGGTGCACATACAGCATACGACACGAAAAAAATAGTAAGACAAGCATTATACTGGCCGTTAGTCATTCCAAGATCGTCGATAAGTCCCTCAATTTTAGCATTGCCGATATTGGTTCCTGAAAAGCTTCCTCAGTCGACCCAAGTCACTACGATTGTATTGGTGGGGTATCTCACGGTCCAAAAACGAGGCTAGGTATAGAAGACATAGCCAGGGAATAAGCCTCATGTCCAACTTCCGCACGAGTGCTTTATCCTATCCGCCGTTTTGGTTCATCACGCGTCAGCATCCCCATCAAGTCACCCATATAGAATGGGGTAAAACGAACAATAGCCTCCCTCTCAGCATCGCTTAACCCTGCATCCGGATCTACTACTTCGAAGTATCCTCCACTCTTGCTTTTCTCGTCCAGTGATGAGGTTTTGGTGTTGAGTTTGGCCATGGTGGAGACCTGCGCTGTGCCTGATGGGGGAGGGAGGGGAGGGTTTGGAGAAGGCGGGGAAGGGGGGGTAAGTGTTTTATTTTATATTCGGGAAGATTGTCGGGCTGATATCCCCAAAAACCCACTTCCTTTGAATCCGAGGTTGAGGATGTGTGCTCTCTCTCTACAGCACTCTCACTTCACACCATGCTTTACTCCGGGCGAGTGTTTTTTTATTTCCTGCACGTACTGCGGTCCAAAGCCCCGTATTTGTGCGGCTTATCCTTGCTCCCTTGCCTTCTCCATATGACCTATGTTTACTCGAGTGTCGCAAGCCATTTCCCCTTTCCCCCCACTCATTCGTTCAATCACGCCTCGCACAGGCCCAGCACTCATGCATAGCGGTGTGTAACAGGCAGCAGAAGTCGAAGTGATCATCCGGCTGTCTGCATAGGGGATCTTATATCCGGAAAGCAGTTTTGGAAGCCGGCGGTCGTGTGGGGAGGTGGCAGGACTGATGTCACTCTTGTACCCCGCCGTATTCAAGAGGGGAGCAGGGGATAGGCTTGCTTATCGGTGGAAATCTTATACGTTTAGCACAAGCGGTTGCCAAGTCGGGCGTCTCGGCTATCTCTTAATTTACCATACAAGGGTGGTCGTATCGGACTCGAGTAGGCTATCATTGCGGGGCGAGAGAAGGTTGGACAGTTGTGGCTGGGGTGGCGATGGCTTGCTCCCGACTGTAGGGGAGCTATAGTACCACCATCCTCGCACAAAAATTGCTTGCGAGTAAATTCAGGGACTATCAACTCACGCAAAAAAACAAAAAAACAAGATAGAACTGATCAAAGTACCATAGCATTATGTGCTCCACAACGGCTTAGCCCATTTCAGTAAAAATTGTGTGATTTTGTTACCCTCATGTGAGTGCTGCTGGCTAACGACTTGTTCCTAAGGTGCCGCAGTGTACAGTGTACAGCGGCGACAAGAAAGTAACCGGACACTAGTGAAAATTTTGATTCAGTACAGGTTCATAAATGTCTTCCATATGGAGTAAAATACCAATTTGTACCTAATACCTTGTTCTTGCACCTTTCTTTTCAATCAATGTCCTAATCCTCTGAGACATGCCATCTATCATCTTATAGACCTTATCCCAATCCAATTGCTCCCACTCCACACTTGCAATTTCCATTACCTCCTCCTGAGTCTTCGGCTTCATCTCCCGGCACCTCCTCTTAAGTCGCAATTTTAACATATGCCAAACATTTTATATAGGGTTCATATCGGGTGATTTTGGTGGCCAATTCAATCGTGCGATACTGTTTGACTGATAAAAGTTTGTTGTTAAAACTGACCGATGAACTCCAAGATTATCCTCAGCAATCTGGTATTCCTGACCAGAATGTGGTAGGCTTCGAAGGAAGGGAAGAAGGTGTGGCTCTAGTACTTCTTGAACGAACTGCAAGCTATTTAGTCCTAAAGCATCGCGGGAAGAGGTTCGTTCACTAGGGGTTCAACGTCGAATATAAATCAGTGGCATATGATACCCAAACGTAATCGCCGCATAGAGTCCTATAGAAAACCGATTGGACTGCTGTTGCTTATCTTGGTACCGTTCCTGATCTCCAGTTCCACGCTGTCGTCGAATCGGCCGAGGTCCTCCTTGTTGACCACTACTTGAATAAGTAGTCTCATCACAGAAAACACACTTTCTCCACTCACTCACTGCCCAGTCTCGTTTCTCCTGTGCCTATATCAACCGTTTTGTTTGATGTAATGGAAGAATTGCTTCTTGCTTTTGAGCAATGAAGCTGCGATATCCTTGAGCAAGTGCCTCATTGGCAATTAAGCGTTCGCTAACATGCAGACTGGATTCCCGAGTAATTTCAGTGATTGTAGCATCTGGATTACTCTCGATAAGGGCAGTGATTCGGTCTTTATCACTGATGCTAAGCTTCGGTGGCCGTCCGGAGCATGGAACATCCTTGACGTTGTTGTCTCTCTCCCAAACCTTCACAATACTCTGAATTGGGCTCTTTCCATATCCAGTTTCTTTCTGAATCTGGCGATAGGAATAGCCTTTCAGATGTAGCTCGATTGCTTGAAAACGCTCTTCTTCTATGGCTTCTCGTCGTTTTCCGCTCGTTCCAGTCGGCATCATCAGTAGTTGTAAAGTATCATGCGTCATAGTACCAGTTGAATCTCGTTGCAACCATACTATATTCCTACCAGGCGACACTAGTTGCCACGGTAAGCCTAATTCCAACATTGTCCGGTTACTTTCTTGTCGCCGCTGTACTGCACGGTACCTTGTAGACAGAAAACTGGCATGATTCGAGGTATTCCTTGTCCAATGCTTCTAATATTTCTCTCCCAAAGTCTATTAATAGAACCTCAGAAATCCATCGAATTTTACATTCATTTTTTTTATTACAGAATTAAAGTGAGATTTCCAGGTGTAGAGTTGCCCATTCTTGTGTGCACCGGTAAAGTTACTCTAGTATTATGATAAAAGGCCAACTAACACATGACTTTCAATGCCAGGCTCGTACAGATACCGGTAGCCATGCCCCCACCGTAGCACTGCATTCCTTTTTTTAGCCCTCTCCCTCGCCCCAAATCGGGCGCAAGTCCGGTTCTCCCCACATCAACAAACACAGCCTACGGGTTCCTTTTTGCCGGCCCAGGGTAGTGCCCAATTCGAGAGTATCACAAATCCGGAAAGCCCCCAAGCGACAGTTCTCCAGATTCCTCCATCCAACAGTCCCATCAAAACCCCACACAAACACTGCACCCCAACAAACCTTGGTCGTCGGCCCTGCCGAGACGAAACAATCCAATCGTCCGTTCATCCGAACAAGTACCGCTCATCCACCCCTTAACCCATTCATAGGAACCAGCAGTACAGCCGCCTCATACGGCACGTCCGACGAGAACAAGCGATTGAGTGACACGGCAACACCGTGCCATCCAAACCCTGGGTTTTCCTCACTTGATAAGGATCCAAGATCCAGCCAACGGGAAAGCGTTAACTCCGAAATCCCGAATGCTTCGGATCGGGAGACTGTGGTATGATAGAGCTTTTGGGTGCGATTAAGCGAGTGGTTAGGAATAAGGCCTTCTTTTTTTTCCGGGAGGAAGGATGAGGTCGCTAAGCTAGGCTTAGGTCTGGATCCGCGTCTCCAACCCGGATCAGGAATGGGTGGGTGGAGTCAGAAGGGTAGGGTTGAGTACCGGCACTGCACCACGGTAGCGAATACCGATAATTCATCACAATTCTAGGTAGTAATTGCCTCTACAGTTGCTACAAGTACAGTAGTACCAGGATACTGCACATCCGGGGGACCTTGTTCAAAATCCGTGCCGTCCGGGTAGACGGTCACTTTGCTGCAGAACTAACTGCCATGCAGCAGCCGAGCAAGGTTTGCTTCTTTGAGGGTACACCTGTAGACAACTACAAGATTGCACCTGTACTGATGTCGGGGGTATGCTATTCCAATACCTGTAACTCTAAGATGGCTTCTGCAGAGAGGATATAGGTGTACCACAAAGCGCCCGGGAAATGAAGTAGACGGCCGGAAGAAAAAAAAGGCGAACAAATATCTTCGATCCCTAATATCGAATATAATATTATCACCTACGGTTCAGGTGCCATACCATTGCACAACTCCCCCCCTGTCAGGGCGTTTGTCTTATTTCCAGTAGTAATAGAGGGGCCCAAAGCTGCAACACCCAACCGTGGGACCACGGCACCGGGGCGAGTGCGGGTCATGGCTTTGCACTCCATTCTTTGACAGCAACAAGGCCGGCGCTCTGAAACACCCCGTTTACACCGTATTAGCCCAGCGGCGGGTCCATGCATTCTTTCTAGCGACTATCCTAACTCATCCGCGTGCTTTAATCTAGTTTCAATTAGACCCCCCCCCCCCACTCCCATGCTAAAACATACAGCAGTGTGTCTCCTTACAAGTCCGTGACATAAACGGCGACAAATTTGCTCGGGTTCTAACTAAGTGATTGTCGATATGTGGGGTGCGAGGGCTATCATATGCAACAAACAGCCCAGGTCTCCAGGGGACCAGGATCGTATGATTCGTAGCCAAGATTGAGGCATTTAGGAATTCCAGAGAATAACATACATCTGTATGAGAAATTGTACTGTACAGTACCGCGACCAATGGTAATAAATGGCCGGGTAAGCCCGAACGAGAGTACTAAGAAAACATACCTCCAGTATATCACTGCTTGTGAACGTCGGGTTGATTACTACCTATGATATTATATTCCCCTTCTGTTCCTGGGTGGGGGGGCTTATGTCCACCCACTTACGCATACTACCTTCCGGACAAGGCTGGTATACAACTCATAATTAAACTCTAACACCCACTTCGGCAATACCCACTCGCAGGTGGATGGGGAAAAACCAGCCCCAATAAAGAGGAAACATAACCCTGTGAAAGTGAAGCAATATCGATAACACTTCCTGCACACCACTTATTTCTGGATCTTCAGGAAACAAGAAGAAATCTGCATCATTCAGCAAGGAGAAATTTCGTATGAGGCTACGCACCGGCAAGGAGCTCAAAGGGTACAAGTATCACACACAAGCCTAAAGGCAGAGGACTATCTAATACACGAGTGCCAACAGGTATGACGGTCGTTAGCCATTCCAGTTAAACCAGGGAGGACCCCACTCGCACCGAGCATCAGAACCAAATACAGTCCGAAGGAGACGAACTATTGCCACTTAACTTACACACGCGTGCATACAGTACTGTACAACCGACAAGCGCAGAGTAGAAAAGAGAGCGATGAGAGCATACCAAATCATCTCGGTTTGCCGTAATCCAGTTCGTCGAATTCCATCCCGCGCTCGGGCCGGCCAGCCAGTCGCCAGCGCCGCGGGAATGATGCAGTAGTCACGGCAAGGCGATTAGCCAGTGGCAAATGACACGAGTGATCTCTGGTGATAAGAGATTACCAGTTTCGGTAGAGCGGTTGGGACCTGGCTAATGCTTGCTGGGTTGCGTGAACTGGTGAGAGAAAAATAGGTTATGATTGAATGTGCTGTGTTTCGACCACTTTCCGCTCAATGGGCTGATGCCCGGCCTATGCCAATTATGCGGCGCCCTCGAATAACGGAACTCCCGGACATGTTCTCGCTGAAACTTATGCATTGCCACAACCACTACAGTATTGGGTGGGCATTTTCCGGTAGCGATTATTCATACCGGATTCTATCTCGGGGGGGGAATACAGCGGGTTAGAAAGGGCTATGATATCAATTTCAAAAGAGGCCATCGGACGGTAAAAGGCCACCCTCGGAAAGGACAAATTTGGCCGCTTTGATACCGGAAATACCCCTAGAGCATTGAGAATTCCCACCTGCTTTTCCTAAACCCGGGGAAGTAGTAAGGAGGGGGGAGGAAATTGAAAGAAAAAAATTTAATTTCTCTCTCTTTCCTCTGCTATCGTACCCCGCCGATCGCGGACCTCACCCCTAGGTGAATGGGTCCAGAGTCGGATTCTATGATATCATACCAACCTCGTATGATAGTGCGCCTAACAGTTTCAAGCACCGCGTAGCCATGCCCGTCCCTCCATGCCTAACCTACAGCGCTTAACTTAATAGCCAACAACGCCCCAATACGCCCATTGTGAAATACCGAGCGATCCCAGATGATCAGACCCCCAGTTGAAAAGGCACTCTCGAGTCTTTTTTTTTTTTTTATGAATTTTCAAAACTGGTTAGCTTACGTTGCATCATACTAAGATGCGATTTTTTATTTTTTTTCTTAAAAAAAAGTACTTCTCGGATATGATACAATAATATTATAGCAATCGCTCTACACGTCCCAATCCATAGTTACTCTTTTGCCACGAGTAAAAAAAAATAAAAATAAAAATAAAAATAAGAAAATGGATACCACAACTTTGGTCCCGCCGGCGGACTCATATCCCTGCTAGATTTATAAATCTCTGACCGTGATAACGTCGACATTTGCCATAGATATAGTAAATAGTGACCGAGCACAATCTCCAGTTTCGGGAACACATGTAGTTTGGAACCCCGTTCCGTGCAGGGAGCGAGGTGCAGAGTTCTTGCCCGGTTGATTGTGCTATGAGACGCCTGCTCGTTGACAATTTTCCGGGTTTGTTGGTCGGTGAGATAGATGGGTGTGATATGTAGAGTGGGGGTGTTGGTACGGTATAAATCCGTTGCTTGAATTTCGGTCTTATCTGTGCAAGAATTGCCCTTTCTATGACCCCGTACTAGCCTGTACTGCATCTATACTATCATAGCAACGCGAAATTACCTTTTACTCATAATCTTTTACTTCCTGGAGCAAATTCCAGTGCAAGCCCAACTCATTCAGTAAAATCCCGCTACTCAATTGTACCACATGTTTTCCCATTTCTACCCAACAGAGCAGATCCAATCGCAATACAGCACTCGCATTCTAGCATCACACCTAATCACTCGCCCAACCCGCCCCAACTCCCGCTCCCGACAACCCCCTTAATCCTTTCGTAAACCCCATCGCTATCATACTCCTTCTTAGGCCCCTTAACCCCATACCCAATCTCGAACCTCTTCAGCCCTCCATCCCCCGCCTGACCCCCACGACCTCCACCATCGTTAAAGCAGAAACGATACCTGGGCCAGTACCAATCCGCACGACAAAGGTGCTTCCCGCCTCCAACCCAGCCGCCCTTCCCATCCTTTGCGCGTCCGGATATCTCGACGCGGTGGAAGAAGTAGTCCACACACGAGCTGTCCTCCGGCTTGACGAACCAAACAGTAATTGCGTCCTGCACTGGATGGTGGCGGTATATGTAGGACCTGCGTGCCTGGATTGTTAGAGGCGTGGGCATGGCCAGAGAGGGGGTCGTGGTGAAGGTTCCGGTTTCAGTGTAAAGGTACTCTTGGACTTCGCCGGAGTGCACGAGAGGCGGGGGGGTGGAGGGGGTTATGGTAATGCTGACGCAGGTTGAGAGCTCTTCGTGCTCGTTCCCTTCGTCGCTGGCGCCGCTGTCGCCCGTGGGGGGAGGAGTACACGAGAAAGAAGGGGGTCTTGGCAAGAATTCTGCAACGCCTTCGAATGTTCCCGAGGAGAATCCCGGATGTTTGGACACAATCTTCCTGCGAAGTTTCCATTTCCCGTGAAGGGCTTTGAATATAGCTCTACTTAGGATCCCACCTTTCGCTTCATCACTCCCGCTACGCTCAGTGAGTACCTCCGTCATTTGCCGAAGTGTCTTTTCCGCCTCTTCATGACCTGGGGAGAAGTGAGCGGGAATCATGGTGTTTGGGTAGACCTCGTTCGTCTCCGGCAGGAGCGGCAGCCCGATAGTCCGGCGGAGCTCGTCTACCAACCCCAGGTAATCCCCCATGCTCCACTGAATACGTGCTTCGGGTGTGCGCGCCGTGATACGTGATATGCGGGTTGCGCGGGATTCCGAGATGCCGAGTTCCATCTCCCGAGTGGACGGCCAAGGGAGTTTGCCGGAGAGTAACCCTGCCATCCAGCGACCTTGAAGTTCTAGGATGCTGAAGAACGGGCCTTTGTACATCCCCACGAAACCACCGGTGTTGCCGAAGGATGGGTGGAGGCCTTGCCTGTATAGGAGCACTGGTAGGAAGTTTGGGTCCTCAGCGATACCGGGGTCGCTAGAGGTGAGGTCGCGGTAGAAGTCTGCTGGGAGGAAGCGCTGGAGGGAGGCACTCGAATAGAAACCGGTCCCAAGCAAGATGGTGTCGACGTCCGTGATTTCGCCAGTGCTGGTGTGCAGTGTGCTACCGTCCGCGCTCTCAAGGCGACCAACTACTGGCTTTATTGCGCCACTACGCACAAATTCCAAGTACGAGTCTGATATCGTGACCCATGGTGTGTAACGCATGTAGTGGTCTGTTATGTGCAGGTTTGGGTGAATATCCTCCTGTCTCCCGCCGACTTGAGAGGAGATGAACGTATTTATGAGGATGTTCTTCTCCTCCTGCGTCTTATCTATTGCCACCGGGTTCTTCCTTGGACCGTTAACATCGTACAGGAGCATGTCGTCGGGAACAAAACGAGGCGCTGAAGGGTCCTCCTTATGCGCGATCGGCAGAAACCTCGGGATGACCCAGAAAGGTCGTGAGAACAGATGCACAATTTCGATCCCCGCACGCTCCTCTTCCGACAAAGACGCTACCCGCAAGGCGATATCGGCCGCAACTTCAACGCCGCTCATGGACCCACCTAGCACTACAATTTTCTTCTTACCAGAAAGCTTATCATGCGGCCATGAATACTCGATGGAATGCAACATCGAGCCTGTGAAACGCTCCATCGGCATTGGAGGCACGTAAGGCATAGAAAAGAAGCCCGAGCAGATCACCAAGAAATCGAACTCTGCATTCCCTTCCTCCCCTCCTTCCTCCTCCACCTCCTTCCAACCAACACTCCACCCACCCCCCTCCACCCTCCCAGTCTTGACAACAGCACACCCCAACCTCAAACATTCATCGGGAATATACCTCCTCCGGAACTCCTCCAAGTACTCTCCAACCTCCCTCGCCGTCGGTAGCATGGCGATGCCCGGATCATACGCCAATTCCGGAAACACACAACTATACCTCGACAAGTTCGTTCGCATACCCGGGTTCAGCGTCACGCTCCCAGCGGCCGGAGACCAGAGCCCGCCAACAGCTTTACGGCTCTCGAATACAGTCGGCTGGATCCCGCTCGCTAGGAGGGATTTTGCCGTTGTGAGGCCGGCCGGACCAGCGCCAATTACAGCGGCAGTTTTGCGCTTCATTGTTGCAACCAAGCGGTGGTATAGGGGGGCCAGTTGGATACTTTGTTAGTGGTGACGGTGGTGAGGATGGTATCACGGGTTGATGGAAGAGATGAAAAGAAAGGGGGAGGGGGGACCGTTGTTCAGTGGGAGTGGGGGAATTAAACTATTTTTAGATAATCTAATATCATAACTCAGCTTCTGCGTTAACGTTTTTCCGGGTGGTTCGTGGTGCGAGGTTTGGTGGTTGCTTGCCCACGTTATCTACTCGAGTAGGTGGGGTAGGAGGTGGGACGGGGGTATGATAAGATATGATACGGCAGCCTACCAGCATCCGGAAGAGGTTGGCGTGCAGAAAACCTTTCAACAACCGATCATGATCGGTGACATGCTCAGAGTCCCTAGGAAATAGACTACCGGTATCTCTCTCCCCACGGTAGATCACATCGATCTGGCCCTGGATGAGGGCACCTTCAGCCGGCTGAATCGGACAACCATGGTATCATAGATCGAATCTACCGATACTGTACTCGAGTATGATACAAGCAAAAACGATCCACGGGGGTTATCTCGCTGTCCACTTGTACAGTACAGTACTTGTAATTAACACCCAAAACCAAGCAGTTGTCCCCCCTAGTGTGGGGTCCACTGCAGCACATTACCCCACTCCATCTTCACTCGTGCAGGGGTAGGAATCCGTTAACCGGATAGTACAGGGATACCTTTTGCCGGCAGCCGGTAAGCCCAAACGAACTGCCCCACAACTTCTTGTCGAATCTTGCAATACCCAAGAAACCATACAATATCATACGCCAATGCCCCATCGCAATCTTGAACCAGCAAGAAGGGACTCCTTCAGCACTGGCTTAAGGGTACACCACAACACTTGCAGAGTAAACAAACATCGGGGGATTATAGTTGTCTACCAAATGCACCAATGCTTTTGCAATTCTATTAACCCATTACCCACTCTCGAATCACTCGCCACCCGCTTTCCCGTATTCTACCTCACTATCGGAACTACATCAAACTACTCCTTCCCCCAACCTCAGTACTGCCCTGCCCATTCGGCATCTCTCCATTTCGCTGTCCAACAAACTCCGTATATATCCCTCGCAGACGCTTGCGCTCTTCCGGGGAAATGCTCGGTCGTGTGGAGTGTAGGGAGGACTCAACATGTGACCAGGATATAGTTACTTCGGCCGTTCCGGCATCCTGCTTCGGCTTTGTTACGGAGATGGAGCCGTTGTTGTTGTTGTTGGAGAAGGTAGAATTATTCGAGGATCTTTTTCGAAGGGATCCGAGCTGTAAGAGTTAGTCGGAGCAGGGGATATGGGGAGAATGGTGAAATACCTTTTCCAGAAGTGCTACCCGCTCGCGATGCCTATTTGCGCCAACCTCCGGCGCAGCCTGACCCCTCCCTTTGCGGCTATCCCCCCAGACGAATTCCAAAAAGTCCAATTCCTCCTTAGCATCTTTACCAGCTGCACTCGCGCCCTCCTGCTCCTCTTCTAGCGCTTCGCGTTTGCGCACCTCTTCGCTGATGACTCCCTGCACGGCTTCCAAATGTGCATTGTAAAGCACCGCCTGCAAGTCCGCTCCGGAATAACCTTCTGTCCTTGCAGCGAGTTCTTCGAGGCTAACGTCCGGACCCACACGCAATTTCCCGCCTTCGCCGACAAGCGCGCGGAAGATATCCAGCCGGTCTTCGGGGCCTGGCAAGTCGCACAACAAGCTCTTATCCAAACGGCCAGGACGGAGGAGCGCAGGGTCGATTAGGTCGGGTCGGGAGGTTGCCGCGAGGACGTACACGCCGTCGAGTCCTTCCGCACCGTCCATCTGTGTGAGCATTTGATTTACCACACGATCGGTGACACCGGTAGAGTCGTGGCCACGCTTCGGCGCAATACTGTCGAATTCGTCAAAGAACAAGACGCAGGGCTTTGCACCGCTAGCGCGCTCGAAGAGGTCACGGACGGACTTTTCCGAAGCCCCGATGTACTTGTTAAGAATTTCGGGACCTTTGACAGAAATGAAATTAAGGCCGCATTCTCCGGCTACTGCGCTTGCTAGAAGGGTTTTTCCGCACCCGGGATAGCCATAGAGAAGGAGACCACTGCGAAGGCGTAGAGGGCAGCTAGCAAATATGGGGGCATATTTGGTGGGCCATTCAAGTGTTTCTAGGAGGATTTTGCGGGTTTCTTTTAAGCCACCGATATCTTTCCAGCTCGCGCCAGAAGTTTGCAGTTTTACGCCCCGGAGTCCAGCAGGGACGAAACCTCGGAGGGCGGAATCGAAGTCTATACGCCTGAGGGTCAGTGTTGAGGATTCTTTAGATTCGCCTGCGTCGACCATCCGGACGACGGCTTCGTGTCTAGCACGGCCGACGAGGAGGACCAAGTCCCCGGGCATATAGCCTTCGGTTTTAGCGGCAATGTCGCGGAGCTCAAGGCCTCTCTCTAAGACTCCTGAACTGGCCCCGACAACGCCCTCAAGTACTGTACGACGACCTTCCTTCGACATTGCTTTGAGCGAGAGTGCCTCGCGGAATACGTGACCGCCGACAACCAAGCTATGCATGCTTTCCTTTGCCTGACAACTAGCTAGGACGACTACGCCTCCACGCCCGCCGGCACCACCAGGCGTTGTATGCTTTCTAACGGCCGCCACGACGACCTCGGCGATTTGCCTCACTCGAGAGTTGTCCTGATTTTCGGACTCAGAGGCACAGAGCCTGTCGAGATCATCGAGGAGAAGGATGGAGTGGCCGGTCTTCCCAGCTGCCCATACGGCCTCGGTGAACCAGCGGTTGACATTTTCTTTAACTATGCCTACACGCTCTTCGGAAAGCTTCGAAAGAGAGCCGGGGTCTATGATCCTATGGAAATGTGGAGCTCCAGAGAGACGCTTTGCGATGAGGCGGAGGATTGAAGTCTTCCCCGATCCGTGAGCACCAGAGAGTAATACTGAGGAAGAAGATAGTAAATGATTGGTGACTGAGGAAAGAATGTCGTCCACACCCACAATTGGCTGATCAGAATCAGTTCCCGGGACGAACAACGTCTCCGAGACAGCAACTAGTGGGGGAGTAGGCTTGGGTACAAGTGACCCAATCTCGAGTGGGAGTTTTTTGTCTGCCGCTAGTACCCATTTAATACATTGTGGCGCTTCCCCACCCTCGCCAGCAGAAACCTCAACTTTGATGATTCCACCAGCAGCAATCGGCGAGTCCCGAATTGCCGGGAGAACAAGTCCGTCAGTCAGAGCACCCTCAAGCACACTTTCCCCAGGGGAAACCGAAGTCTTGTCCTCCTCTATCATGGCCTTCGTCCCATTGCGCTGTCTGTGAGGACCCAGAACCTCTTGCAACCTTGCAACAGCCATTTCCTCTAGACGCTTAGTTCCACCACCCCATTTCAACCCGTCCTGTTTCTCGGTACCCTGAAATGGAAAAACCTTAACCTTTGAGAGCAATTTCTGGGGCACCTGCTGCGGCGCAGGCTCAAGGCGTATCATATCACCCACTTGCCCATGCCGAAGGTGCAAAGCGACAGAGAGTAGTTTAGACAATGCTACGTGTTTCCCGTCTGGCGCAGAATCCCAAGGACGTATAACTGCGACGATCCTTGAAGCCGGAATCACCTCTGGTGCTGCATCCTTTTTATCCTTTTTGTCCTTCTCCTCCGGTTGCTGCTGCGGCTGGGACGGATCTTGGGGAGGAGCTATAGCTGGGGGCCGGACAACTGAAACCACAGCATGAGAAACACCCCGAAGATGCCTCGAAGACATGAGCAATGTGGGATCTAGGTAGGCCGAAAATCCCTTTCCGCCAGCAGCAACCTCTTCTCTGTCCTCATCCCCTTCTATAAACTCCTCCTCTTCCTCATCGCCATCCGTCTTCGGAAGATACCGTACCGCGGGCAACGAGACGCCCCGGAAAAACATTGCCCCCGCGCCCCCACCATCGCTCCGCTTCTTCACCGCAGTTTTCGCAGTGCTGGTGGCCGACTTTGCACCCTGACTGTGTCGGCGCTGCCGCTTCTTCGGCGCAACGATAATCTCGGCTTCCGGCGAAACCTTAGCGAATCCGTTCGGCGAGGAAAGAGCGTCCTCCGGCTCAACCTTTGTCACTCTTATAGAGGCCGTAGATGTAGGGGACAGGTAGACTGAGATCGGGTGCGCGGGAGAAACACAGCGGATCTGTGAAATAAGATTTAGTTCCAGAAAGTCCGCATGCAGCTCTATTATCTCCCAATCACTCGCAGTCAGGGGCTCGATATGAAAAGTGTGTGCCGGCGTAGGGTCCAAATGGAGGTGAATAGAAACCTAACCAAATCAACACAATCCCTCGCGGTGAGGCCCATCACTGTATTCCGTGGAGGGGAACAAACCTTAGACCCCTCAGACAATCCTACATTCCTAGCAAATGCAGGATCCATCTCTACCATTGCCTCCTCCGACCTCCCCGACCCTGCACTCGGCTTCCTTTTGCTCTGCATTCCCGTCCACCCGGCATACACGCTTCTAGTAGTTGTAGCGGTTGAGCCTCCCCCGACAGAGACGCGGAAGGATAACTCGACAACAACATTTTGTGCCGGAGTATTTGCAGAAACCAGCACATTGACGAGTGGGATTGGAAGGTTGAGAAGACAGTTCTTGAGCGAAGTTAAGGAGACGATCGCGGGGGTAGCGGGGGGTGAGGGCTTCCGGGACATGGTTGTTAGTGGGAATTTCAAAACAATCAATTATCCCGCAGCGCCGTTACTCGGGATGGCCGTGATTAATTTTGGACACCAATAGCGAAGGGAGTAACAGTCGAATTTATCATGGGGGTGCCCAATATCGGAACAGAAGATTAATGATGCGCGACGAGAATGTGATATTACGATGTATAGCAGGTAGGTGGGCCCAGTGGTAGAAAGATTCGGGGAACGCCCTTCTACTAAAGAATCTGGGAATTTCTTGTGAATCCCAAACCTGCATCCCATCTGCCTCGGCTCTTGTTGAATTCAGCAATGGAGGTCTCCGATTAGCTGTGCTTAAGTAAGCTTCCAGTACTATCTCCTAATCAGGGCAATTGAGGGGAGCCAAAGCGAAATTTACCCCTATTAAAACCCAAATCAGGTAATGAATAAACAACGCGGGCCAGCACCAGCAAACGCGAACATCCATCCTGCCATCCAGATTGGTTCGCGTGAAACTGCAAACCCCCAGTCAAGCCCCTCCCTTCGATCCCTTTGCCCAAACCAAAATTCTCAACAACCATCTCATCCCCTCGTCTTAACCATCCATTGAGGTCACGGAATTTACCAGAATCCGTGGGAGAATAGCACAGAACAATAATGTCCAAGCTTCCTGTTATCAAGCTACCCGACGAAATCGATTATGACAAACAACAAGGTCTGTTTTCCGACCATTGCCTGTTACTCTGCAGTGAGACTTACAATGTTTGAGTAGTTGCCTTTGAGGCTTTCCTTACAGGATTCAAATCAACACTTTCAACCGAGGAGGCTGCCCGTGACGCGTTATCGAATTTGAACATGGAGGACGAGGATGAGGACCTCACAGATACACCCCGCCGTCGTGCAACACGCTCTGGTGGAAGGAGCCGCGCAAGAAGACCAAGAGTTGCGGTTCAGGAGCCCAAGCTAAAGTATATGCTACAGCTCCAGGAGATTGCAAACAGAACACGGGACTCTATCACTATTGAACTAGACGATCTGATGAGTGTAAGTTTCCCTGGTACCAGACACAAAAAGGCTGGGCTGATATTGCGAGTGATAGTTTGAGGATTCAGGTCTTGTTGAAGACGCTGTGGGATTAGTCAGGGCGGTGGGTAAGAATGCTGCACATTACATTGAGATCTTTTCAAGGGCCATCGATAAAGTCATCCCCCCAGAGACTGTAGACACTACGTATGTTACCATCCCTACTTATACATTAGATGCTAACAGTGTTTTAGCTACAATGACGATGTTCTTGATGTTATCCTGACACAACGTCGCAACCGCAATGTTACTGCTGAGAGTGATTCAGCCGACCCTCTTTCGCTCGACGCTCCCCCTCAGCTTTTCCCCGCGATGCTTACCCGTCGCTACCAGGTGTACTTCAAGCCGTTGACACCGTCAGGTGACTCTGGCAAAAAAGCGCTCGCGGTGCGTAATGTTCGTGGGAGCCATCTAGGCCACTTGATCACCGTTCGTGGTATTGCAACCCGTGTGTCGGACGTCAAGCCCACCGTGCTCGTCAACGCATACACCTGCGACAGGTGTGGTTGCGAGATTTTCCAAGAGGTCAAGACCAAGAGTTTTGCTCCGTTGGTCGATTGCCCTTCACAAGAGTGCAAGAACAATGATGCGAGAGGTCAACTTTTCATGTCGACTCGTGCGTCCAAGTTCTTGCCATTCCAGGAAATCAAGATTCAGGAAATGGCAGATCAAGTACCTGTCGGACACATTCCCCGAACCCTCACAGTACATGCCCATGGCTCTCAAACAAGATGTGTTAACCCCGGAGACGTTGTTGATATCGCGGGAATATTCCTACCAACACCATACACTGGCTTTAAAGCGATCAAGGCAGGTCTATTAACGGATACCTACCTTGAAGCCATGCACCTTGAGCAACACAAGAAACAATACGACGACATAGTAATTGATACCCGAACTATCCAACGTATCGAAGAGCTCCGAGCGCAGGGCAATCTTTACGATACCCTCGCCAAGTCCATCGCCCCTGAGATCTTCGGCCATGAGGATGTGAAGAAATGCCTCCTCCTCCTCCTCATTGGTGGTGTAACCAAAGAAATGGGTGATGGAATGAGAATCCGTGGCGATATCAACGCCTGCTTGATGGGAGATCCCGGAGTAGCCAAATCCCAGCTCCTAAAATACATCACCAAAGTCGCCCCCCGTGGAATCTACACCACAGGTCGCGGGTCCTCCGGTGTCGGTCTCACAGCCGCCGTCATGCGTGATCCAGTCACGGACGAGATGGTCCTCGAGGGCGGAGCCCTAGTACTAGCAGACAACGGTATCTGCTGCATCGACGAGTTTGACAAGATGGATGACTCGGATCGTACAGCAATTCACGAAGTCATGGAGCAGCAAACCATATCAATTTCCAAAGCCGGTATCACCACATCCTTAAACGCACGTACTTCCATCCTCGCGGCAGCGAATCCTCTCTACGGCCGTTACAACCCCAAGATCTCCCCCGTGGAAAACATTAATCTCCCCGCCGCCCTCCTTTCCCGCTTCGACATTCTTTTCCTAATCTTGGATACCCCCACCCGCGAAGGTGACGAAGAACTCGGCCGTCACGTCACTTTCGTGCACATGGAGAACCGCCACCCAGAAATGGACTTCGAACCCTTGACCCCCCAAGAAATGCGCATCTACATTGCCCAGGCCAGGACCAAACGCCCCGTCATCCCTAAGGAAGTAGCAGACTACATGGTCGGCGCGTACGTTAACATGCGCAAAGCCGCAAAGAAGGCGGAAAAGGACAACAAGTCCTTCACCCACGCGTCGCCCCGTACCCTCCTCGGCATCATCCGCCTCTCCCAGGCACTCGCCCGTTTGCGCTTCGCCGACACAGTCGTGATAGAGGACGCCGACGAGGCGCTCAGACTCATCGAAGTGTCCAAAGCCTCACTGCAAGAGAAGAGCGACTGGGATGAGGACAATACCGTTTCCTCGAAGATCTACAACATCATCCGAACACTGGCCTTTGGTTCTGGCGACGGAAGCGGCGAGTTAAATATGCGGAATGTCCGAGAGAGGGTTCTCGCGAAGGGTTTCACGGACGATCAGTTGGCCGACGTTATCGATGAGTATTCTGCGTTGGATGTTTGGCAGGTGGCTGGGGAGGGTACTAGACTCGTGTTTGTCGGAGCGGAAGTTGATGATGCCGAGGAGATGGATGTCGACATGAGTTAGTCATTGGTTTTTGTCCCTTTTATATATATACCCCCGTTATTTTCACCACCCTATTGTAAAACAGTCTGTGTTACGTGGCACGGTATGCCCGAATGTGTGATATCTCGTATTCGAAAATACAATCACATGACAGATGATGTCTAGTATTCCCATTTAATTCCTAACCAAAAAGTGGACGTAGAGTAGTAAAGTACATGAACCTGATACCTACCATGTCCGATTTTCCACGATAGACTAGCCCAAACTTCAACCTACAAATGGAGATGTTACGAAGGTGAATGAAGGAAAAAATCAATGTTTACTTGCATGCTTTCCGTTATTCCTGCCCAGCCTACTCCCCTGCTAACCAGCCACGGGCGAACAGAACATGCACATCTCCCGCTCACGACCAAACCAAGTCCAAGCGAAAACGGTGTCGCCAGTCGCAAGTTCCATTGGTAACTTGAAGTTGAATTCCTAGCTATCAGGGACTATCCTAGCCACCGCAGACAGGTCCCCAAGCGTGAGTGTGATGTTCGGAATTTCGTGCCGTGGTCGTATGATAGGAGATGCTTGCCCGGCAGCTACCGCTCCAGTGCTTGCTTATGCCCTTCAGAGCAAACTTTGGGCCTTGCCTACAGTCCATTTTTATAGCCAGTCTACCCTCGGGTTTATCCATGAGGTTGAGGTGCTTTCGGAAGGGGTGGAAGAATTTGTCCCTCAGTGAGAATTCAATAATCGTGTCGTTTAGCTTTGATGGGTTTCGGTGCGAGTTTAGTGGCTGATTGAAGAGTTGGGTCCCGAATGGCGATGTGCGCTCCCGCTGGACTTGTGCGGAGGGAGTAAGGTTAGTTGGAGGTGGTCCATCTCTCCCCTCTTTCTTTTTGACTCTCTCCTACAATTCGAGTGCTAGTGATGTGCTTGCTTGGAGGGTGCTCTCTCGAAGTAAAGGTAGCTCAAGAAACTGGTGCGCCCTCAAACTTCCCCACACCCAACCCCAAGATCAGGACAAAGCCCCCCCCCCCCAAGGCAAGTTCGCTGCCTCCACCACAATTCTGCCGCCGCGAAAAACTATACTAAAATAACGTAGTCTTCCAATGTTGCTCTCGCAGATAATCTCCTAAACAAGAAACCCAAACGGCGCAGCTAGCGGTTCGAGTGACATGTCGTGTTTCAACATATACGGACACTAAAACGTTTCATTCCTTTTTGGAAGCCCTACTGCAAGGACTCCCCACCTTTCCCCCACCTTCCCGACGCCGAAGCAGTGTTTTCGTCTAAACTATCGGACAAATAACATGCCACGAGATATCGACCCAGCACTTCCTGCTTCCCCTTACTCCTTGTAGAATACCTCCCCCAAACCCGTCCACCAACCGAGACCGCTTATGCTTCACACAGCCCCTTTTACAAAGCTCGTTTACCAGGCCATATTGGCCGCCCTACCCCATTTTTTCTTTACAGTGAGGTTAGGCTCCAAGCTCACCTCCATCCAATCAATCATCTCCCACCACTCCCGAACTCCTGGAACCCCACCCACCTACGCCACATCGGCACCCCAGTCATCCACGATATATCCAAATTCCGCGAAAAGCATGCCAGCTCCTGCGTCGTGAAAGTTCGAATCTAGTTGGCCTAATTGATTTTGCTATGCACTGGTCAACAGATTCACGTACAATCACTAACCTCCCAACGTATAATCTAATCGAACCCTTCGGCTAGACCTCTGCGAGGCATGCCTTGCACTCCTCCACGCTGGAGGGACTCACGTGCACAATCCGGCCAACATGGGGAGCCTGTATGGACGCCGCCCACAATCCCTCAAGGGATAAGTAGAGCAGCGATAAAAGCGAGGTCACCACAGATTATATGAATGTCGATTTTGGTATGCGGGCCGAACCGCTCCCGAAAAACAGGTTGAATTCCTGCAGAGGATTAAGCAAGTTCAGTGTTCCCCCACAGTTGACGCAGGAAGCATTACCCAGCTACATAATCCCAGGACGGTGCCGGACGGATGTCCGAAAAACGCAGTAATAGTGGCCTAAGGTAGCGGGCTCCCATTTCCTATACGACGAGCCTACAGCTGTCCCGCCCGGCATTCCACTTTACAGATCAATTCAACAGACTATTAGCGGATATAAAATGAACATCCCCAGCGTCTGCAGGACCTACTCCTATCATACCAACTTAAAGGAAACACTCTCAAGATGCTAGCTTTTCGACCAAAGGGACTCTGACTCCCTCTCCATATAGTGGCCGGGTTATAGGGGTCGCGCAAGGCAGGAGATATTATATCAGTTGTCCCTACGGTACCGCAACGGGAATGGGAAATGCTTGAAATATAAGAATGAAACCTCTACCATCTCCCCACAGCCCGATGAGTCCACCAGTGCCGCCTCTAGCTCAGGGCCACAAATGAGGTGCAGGGGTAGTAGTTTCCTATGGCGGAATTTAACGAAAGGCTTATCCTAAAGTTTCTTCCCCCGCTTCTGACGCCCAGTGGGGAAACGAAATCACGAATCAAGCCGACCAATAGCAGCCGTGGCGATAGATTATATATGAAGGAAGGAGAGATTCCGAGAAAACAGTGAAAAGTCCTTTTTGGGGCTGACGCCACGAAACTTATATACCTCTAAAAAAATTCCCCGGGATGCGCCCGGCAAACCAGTTGTTCAATTCACTGTCAATTGACACATGATATGGAAAGTTGCAATCCCAGTAACTTAAAAGGCAATATCTCAACAGTATGAGCTGATCCTTTGCTACAAATAAGTCCATTCCCTACCCCTTCCACTAGCTATTATCGAGAGCGTTTTCTAATGCTACTTAGGAGTGGACAGAGGCCCAAAAATCATCATTAAATTGGAGTAGTATGATACTCTACTGAAATCACGTGAAATCACTCGCAGAGGGTCTCTAAGTTACGTTGCATACCGCTCCCCACCAGTTTCAGCACGGCCAGCTAGAAGGTATACGGGGAATTCGGAGGCGCTGCTTTCCGCCTTAGATCCTCTTACAAAATTCAGTCTCTACCCCTCATCGTAGCCTGCCCCCAGTGTCTCTAGATAGGTCAGTGGTATCCCGATTTTAGTTAATGTACATGGGCACCCGTTCCCCTCCCCTAGAAGGGTGGAAACAGATATGATATACTAGGTTCTCGTACTTCCGCCAAGTCGACTGGGCCGTTCCCCTTTTATTGATTGAGGAAAGCTTATACCATCGGACTCCAGACACAAGAGGTCTACTACCCTAATGCACCAATGTATATATCATAGTACCTTCGCAGCGGCAGGGTGAGCGGAGAAAATCAGACCCCGGGAGGGAGGTAGAGGGGTGTGGCCATAAACTTCGTTATCTTGTTTAGCACCCGAATCCAACTAAACAGTTAGGAGTATAAAAGGAGTGGAAGAGGCAACCTAATCTCCCACGGGTCAGCGCACACATCTCTATCCCTCCACACACCTCCGCCATAACAATAGAAAGGTACAGTATATCCAGAGATCCATTTCCATAAATCGCGACAACTCCAGGACAAATAGAATGATCCCCAACAGTATCAATTCTTCAGTCCAGATAAAGCACTGTGCCGTGAGAGTACCATACCCTCACCCGGTGAAGGGAAGATCAGAATAGAAGGCGAACCGAGATTACCTGAAGACATCTGGAAGATTTCCAGCAAAATACTGATAAACCACTTCAATACTATTTGCAGCCCCCCCCGCGCGCGCGCGCTTAATCAAACCCAACTACTCTCCTAGCTAAATTCCGAACGAATAGCCCCCCCAAAGCTCCCCAGAGAAACGCTCCCCACTACGCCTTTTGTCCTGTACATATTCTGCAGCAGACTGTACTATAGAGGACTGTCTACTTCAGCCAGTGCATTTCACAATCCTCCGTATACCGAACAACCCAACCAGGAGGGGGAGGTTCTGTGCCGAAGCACCGCGTCCCCGCGCCAGGCCCACACTCTTCAGAAGTGTCACTGTTTCTGATGAGATCCGAACCTAGACCCCTGGAAAGCCCGAGTATGCCGGGGCTTGGCCACTTCCACCAGGGCACCATCCCAGTTATGATTGATGCCCCTTTTCACCAATCCCAACACCGCTCCGGTTAGCCTTCGAAAAGATATTTCTCCCAGAGCTCCAAAAAAAAAAAAGGTCATTAGGGCCCATTGCGGGACATTAGTACCATGGCGGGGTCAGAAGAGTGGTCGAAAAGCCGCAAGTCAATTTTCATACAGAGAAGCTCTCTCTGGAATACCGGTACCCTTTGCGTTCAGAAATGAAACAGTGCCGTGCTTAGCGCAGTCGTCTATTCCCAAGGGTCCAAGGACTGCCATATCAAATCTTCCAGAGACTGCTTTGGTCATAATATGATATCACTGCCAATACCATCTTTGGTCAGTTAGGGGTTGCTGAGCTCACAAGTTCCGAGTGACTATACGTGACCTGACTAACTAGCCCGAAGCCCTAAAAATCTCCTCCCCCCCCCATAAAAAAAACATCCAATCTGACACGAAACAAAAATTCCACCCCACTATCACCCCCACCACCAACCACAAGCTATATCACCCCAGCGATCCCTCACCATAACACATAACACCAAATTGCGATGCTAAAAAAATCTGCCCCCCTCTGCTTAACCGCGCTCCGCATCTCCACCCCCTTCCCACCAGCAACCAACACCCTCCTACACACATATCGCAATGCCTCCACCTCCACCACCGCCAGCGGCAGCAGCAGCAGCGCAAGCCCCACAAAAACCGCAACCTCCCCCCAACCCAACCAAAAACTAGACTGGAACGCCTTCCTACAGCTCCGCAAGCAACGACGGAGGTACAACCTCGTATCATCACTCTTCACCAGCGCCGTCGGCACAACGGCGGGCGTCAGCTACCTCGCCAATAAGGAGATCGACCCGACGCAGATGATAATGGGCATGGACCCGATAATCCTCTTTGGGCTTGCCACCGTTAGTTGTGGTGCTCTGGGGTGGCTTGCTGGACCGGTTTTGGGGAGTAGTGCGTTTTCAGTGGTCAAGAGGAGGGTTATGGGGCAGATCAATGAGGTATGTAATTCCCTTGCCATTCCTCTCGGAGGGGGGAAGGGGGCGCTAATTGGAAACAGCGAGAGCGGGAATTCCTCCAACACATCAAGAAGAATCGCGTCGACCCCTCCTTCCAAAGCTTCAGTAATCCAGTCCCAGATTACTACGGGGAGAAGATTGGGAGTATCAAGCAGTACAAGCAATGGCTGAAGGATCAGAGGGCGTATAATCGGAAGAGTAAGAGTTTTTTGTGAAGGTCTCCTTCTCTTACAATACGTTTCTGTAGCCATAGAAGATGAAAGTGGAAGATGGGAGGGGGGGGAGGTGATGGGGGTTTTTGTACAGTTTCACTCCTACCGCTTTAGTCCTTTTATTCTTTCCTCCTTTTTTCTTTTTTTTCTCTCTCTTCCTTTTTTTATACAACATCGCTTCTTGCTGCTTACTACCGGTTTGGTAAAGTATATATTCCTTTATTTCTTGCTTTGTTTCTCGACTGTATTGGACTTCTGACGTATTGGCGAACGAACGAGCTTAGGATGGAAAGAAGGGAAAGAGCAGTAAATTAGGTTCCCCTCCACTCCCCCCCTTCCCCCTCCCTTCCCCCTCCTACCCCTCCAAAAAAAAAAACATTTCGAACAAAACAATCACCACTATTCTGTATATGTATATGTACTCGTACATGTCTATGATATACACGGAGCAACTCGCGCACTTTCAACAAGTGAACCTCCAACCGCCCGCCACCAAGAAAAGAATTGGAATTTATGCCCTCCCCTCCTTCCCCCATAACATCCTCAAGTATAAATCATACTTTACCCCCCAGACGGTCCAGACCATTCACTCCCATCACCCACCCACCAACTCCCCCTTCCATTCCCTTGCACTCACCAGCACTTTACCAGCACACATTCCCAATACTCACTCAACACGATATCGAAAGCATAGCCTGCACCCCCTCCCCCACCCCGTCCATCCACACGATACCTCACCGAGCGAGGGAGTAAGCAGCCCACGCATATCACAACAAAACATAGAACGAAAAAACAAACACGATCCTAATAGCAATCCCAATCGAGTGATACATAATGACCGCCGGCCAAACTACAGTGATAACAACCCCCCCCGATCACAAAGCAATAACCCACAAAAAACAAGCTTGCACATGGTAACAACACAATTTGAATTACTACGATATACCATCCTGATTTATTAAATTGATACTGTCATCCGCGCCACACTAACAAAACTCCTATCATACTCGAGTACCGTACTCGTAGAAGTACAGTTACGACCCCAGCCAGGTTTCCCGGAATCGCTATGATACTGCCCATAGATAATTGGACATATTTGATATGCATCATGCCGGCCGAGTCGGAGCGTGAAATTCAATGCCCCGTAATGTACTGTAGCTGAGTTACGTGATGTGAACCGTGCTCATTGAAATCCGTTCCCAAGATCGGATCGGACGGGATTGGAAGCGAACAGGTAAGGCAAAGGGAGGAGGGGAAGGGTGGTCAAGTCAAGTCGAAATTTAAAGCAAGGCAAAGTTAGCTACACTGTACTGGACCCTAAGCACTTTAGTGTACTCGCACTGTGCTCCTACGATATAATGCGAGTACAGTACGGTGCAGTACAAAAAAAAATGCTCAGAATAGTGGGGAAAAAAAAAAGGTATTCTTCCTATACCGGAAAGTCAAGATATCCGAACTAGCAACCCAGTTACTAACCCAGCCAGTTTCTTTCTCCCTTCAAGCTAGAAGAAATCTATTTATCCAACGACAAGTTATAAATAATACCGGTGATATGCAAGCTGGAAAAAAAAAAAGATAAAAAACTGACCCCCCCCCCCGATATAAGATACTCCTGGTTCACTCGGTTTTTCATCCCCCGTTCCCACCTTTTTTTCTTCCTCAATAAACTTGCATTAATAGTATGTTTGCCATTGGAAAAGAGAGAAAAAAGAGTTTTCTGTTTTTTTAAAGGGTTGTAAAAAGAAAAACACACGCAACTACACACACCACACATAAAAAAGAAAGAGAAAAAAGAACAAGCTACCCAGTATTATTTTTCTCCCTTCTCTCCCTCCTCACTCCTTTCCTTGCCCGCCTTCTCTAGTGCACCAATCCCTCCATTACCCAAGTAAAGCAGAGGATCCAGTGCTTGTCTCTACGCTGAAGTGCTCAAGACAAATGAAAAAGAAGCCGATCAAACCCGAAACACAACTACGGAAAAGAAAAAGGAAGCAGAAAAAAAAGAAAACCACCCAATTGACCATTCATGATGCAAAAGAAAAAAAACAAACGTCATGAACCATGAAAGACCCCACAATCAACAACGCCGGGTAGATGTGAATAAAAACTTTCTTCTTTCGTGTGTGTGCCTTTTGGATAGAGAAAAAAAAACCCCCATGAAAAAAATAGTAAAAGAGATGAAAAGCAGAACATAGAACATAGCAAGCAACAAAAAGAGGGCTAGAACCCTCTCACCCCGTAAAATTCATCTCATTTCCCCAGGTCAGTATTGCCCAGTCTCAGCAGAACTTGTAAAAAGTAACAAGGAAAAAAAGCAGAAACCCCAGTTGGAAGCCGTCTATACCCAATTGCATAACAACCTGTGTTTCCGAACGCTGCCGATGAGACATGAAGAAACAAGAAAAAAGGAAAAAGAAACTTCATTTAGGAGGGTGAAGAAATTGATATAGAGAGGGATCACGAGAAATCATAAAGCAGTCAAAAGCAAAAAGCCCACAAAACCCCAAATATTGCGCCATGTTTTAAACCTTCCTTTGCTCCCTTTCTTTTTAATGCAAGCAGAAACAACCGATGAAATGTTACTTTTTTTGTGTGGCCAAGGAAGGAAAAGGGTCCAAACATACGCAATTCCGCTGGGCGGAACTACCACCAAGAGCTGCTGCCAGGGTTGCCATAGCTTCCACCCCCATGGCCACCGCCCCCTCCTCCGCTGCCGTAGCCGCCACCGTAGCCGGATCCTCCGCCGCTGGGGTAGCCTATCGTGCAATGTTAGCAATGTCAACAATCGAAGTAGAAGTACCAAGCAACATACCACCACCACCACCGCCACCGTAACTATTACCGGAGCTACCATAGCCACCACCATAGCTACCACCGCCGCTACCACCGCCGCCGCCATACTTTCTGAAATCACGGCTGGCATTACCGCCACGCCCTCTTCCACCGCCACCGCCAGACCTGCCACCACCACCACCACCACCACGACCGCCTCCGGAAAATCCACTCTCCCTAGCAATCGTTTCCAAGAATGCAGGTACTTCCTGGTTGGCCTCTTTGAGCAGTTCAAGAAGATCCCTAACAACGCCGCGATTACCGCGATTGAAAAAGGCAGTCGCGATGCCAGTATTGCCAGCACGGCCTGTACGACCGATACGATGAACGTAGTCATCAATATCGGTAGGAAGATCATAGTTAACGACGTGAGTGACATTAGGAATATCGAGACCTCTGGCAGCCACAGCAGTTGCAACCATAACCGGGCAACGACCAGTGCGGAACATCTCAAGAGCGCGCTCACGCTCACGTTGTGTACGATCCCCGTGAATGGACGTTGCGGGAAAATTTTGATTAAGCAGGAAATCGCTCAAAGAGTCCGCCATACGCTTGGTCTCCACAAAGATAAGGGTAAGGCCACCACTATGTGTATGGAGAATGTCTAAAAGCACGGAGCGCTTATCCTGATCCTCGACATACTCGACCTTTTGGGTAATGTTCTCGGAAGTAGAACCAACACGGCCAACAGAAAGGAAGATATAATCCTTCAAAAAATCTCTGGCAAGCATTTGGATGTCACGGGGAAAGGTAGCAGAAAACATGAGGGTCTGGCGAGTATCAGTCTTGGGCATATCTTCACCCTCGACAATCCGACGGATCTGAGGCTCAAAACCCATGTCCAACATGCGATCAGCTTCATCAAGAACAAGATACTTGATGTTTGCCAAAGATATACGACCACGCTCAATCAGGTCAACCAGACGCCCAGGAGTAGCAACCAAAAGGTCACAGCCACGCTCAATCAAACGCAGCTGAGAACCAATGTCGGCACCGCCATACACCACACAGGGGCGAACCCACGAACGGTAAGCGAATTTACGGGACTCGTCATAAATTTGGGAAACAAGCTCGCGGGTTGGAGCCAAAATAAGCGCAGTGGGATAGGCTTTGCGTTGACGGCCGTAACCATAACCAGCGCCTGAGCTTGCAGGAGCGGCAGAGGGTCCTTGAATGAAGGATTGAGAAAGTATCGGAAAAAGGAAACCACCAGTCTTTCCAGAGCCTAATAACAATTAGCTTGTGTGTAAGGATGGGTGAGGATGAAATTTACCGGTTTGTGCACAAGCCATTAGATCCCTGCCGCCCATAACGATAGGGATCGAATACTTTTGCACAGGGGTAGGGCTCTTGTAGTGGGCAAGCTCAATATTGGACAACAAGTGAGGATCCAAAGGCGGGCTGGTGAACTGGGTAGCAGGTTCGGGAACATCGTGGCCAGAGGCCTCAACCGGGATATCGTCATATTTCTCGAAATTGATACCAGTAGCTAGCTTGGTAGGATCATTAGGGGCGCCAAAGAGCTCACGCTCGGTACGGGGATTAGGGGGTCCGGGGATATGTTTGCCATCGGCCCAACGACCATCCCCAGAGCCCCCACGATTACCACCGCTTCCTGGATTGCCATACGCGTTGGGATCAAAGGAGCGTGGAGGACGGGGAGGGGGGGCATCCCAGCCACTGCCAGCACCGCGAGGAGTGAAGGTTGGGGCGTTGGCCCAGCCATTAGCATGAGAAGCAGGAGCAGCCGACTCTTGAGTTGGGCTGGGCTGGGAATTAGCACAATGCTGCCAATATCAAACACGAAGAGTAGAAAGCAAGGAAGTATAGGATGAAAGTTACGCATCACAAGGCAAACAAAGAAGAAGAAAAAAAGAAAACATGCAAGAAAACAAAAACTAGTAGGAATGTTAACGAACGACATACCCGTTACTCCATCTAGAGGACTGAACGCCATTTGCTGTGCCGTTCTGGACGGGAGGGGGCACGGGAGCCGCGGGGCCAGAGTTGGATCTGGCGGCACTCCCCCTCATATGGGGAGGGATATAAGCAGAGCCGATCCTCGGACCACTCCCAGAAGAATGATTAGAGGCCCCAGAAGAGGGAACCCCATCAGTAGCATGAATCGAGTCACTCATGCCCAAGTTGGACATGCGTTGATTAAGTTCAGCCATGGTTGGGAAAGCTTTTTTCTAATGTTGGCTGGCGATGGTTTCGGTAAATATTCCTGAACGAATGCGTCTGACGAGGTGGAAATTCGGTGCCGAAAAGGAACCCAAGAAAACAATAATCTGTCAGCTAGGAAAAGAGCCGAGGCGTTGGCTAAGGAAAACAAGGACTCCTGAGACTCCTGTGTGCTCCTGCGTGCTTTTGAACGAAAGAAAAAAGGGTGTGAAGAAAAGTTGGTATAGAACAATTCCTTCCGGATCGCTCCCGTCTATGGATGTCGTAACGTCGCAAAGAAAGGAACGATGAAAAAGGACTAGAACCTAAGAAGAGAAACGAAGGAAGGTCAAGATCCTCTGCTCCTCGGGAGTTATGTGCGTGGGGGAAGTGAGAAAAGTGAGAGGAGGTGCAGTGTTGAGTTCAGGGAGAAGATTGAGAACGAGGTGGTTTGTGAAAGAGACTGGGAAGAAAGTAGAGGGAGAACAGGCCCAGGGAAAAAAAAAAAAAAAGGGTGGGAGGAGACATGTAACTTACCGGTAAGGGAAAGAAAAAAAAAGTAAAAAAAAGTAAAAAAGAAAAAGAAAGGGCAAAAACAACAGGGCACTTGGTATCAAAGGGCTGATTGTACTCGAGTAGATGGCAAACTACCAAAGTTGACCGAGATTACTAAGCTAAAATCAGGCGAAGAAATGAAATTTTTTTTCCCTTTTTTTTTCTGCTCGTAGGGAAGGTTGTTCAACTGCCCGACCAACCAGTAAGCAAACTTTATCGCTTACCCCTTCCATAAGGGGGCCCCGCAGGCGGCAACGGGACGAATGCTTGACGCAGGCCGGACCCCTCTGGGTAAAAAAGGAGCACAGTCCTGCTCGCGGTACCGTAAGTGATATGTTCTGTCGAAGGTCGGACACTGGACAGGGATACCGGTAGCTCTTTCTGCGGCTGACAGACCCCCAAGAAGCTTTCGTAGAAAATTCCAATACCGAACCCGTCACTGCGGTGTGCAAAGGACTGGCAGACAAAAGCAAGTATCATGCAGAGCAACCTCTGCCCCCAATACCGGTGGCATGTTCTTCACCCGTTTTTCCGCCAATCACGAAAGGTCTGCTGTGCTCCCGCAGAAGGTTTCGATACTTGGCCTCTCTCCTTCGCGTCAGCACGCTTATCGCAGCCGTGATGGGAGGGTGGAACACCGGTACCGTAAAGAAAAAAGGAAAGAAAAAACAAAAAGCTGAGAAGGCTTCCAGCTCCCAACGACCATACACTGCCCATGACTACCCATGAATACGATAAATGATATATACATACATATATCGTACCCGAATACTGGCTACAGCACATAAATCATGCTTCAGCCTTCACATGGGCATGTATGGTATGTGGTATGATAACATAAAGTACTCGAGTATATGATACAACAGAGGGAAATCCCAAAATATTACAACACACTTTGGAAATAATTATGCACTTTCACCGCGCAAAGGTCTCTTGACCTGACTTTTTGTTAACAAGTGCAGGGTTTTTGCTATCTCTGTAGGATCCATTGTAGCCTCTATTCCTTACACTCAGTTACCTTGGGACACTCAAATATGCTACTTGTACCCAAAACATGAGGATGCTACTGGCTAATACCAGAAAGTGACTTTACGCAACTTCCCACATTCACTCGTTACCGGAAAATCATCTTTTTAACTCTGAATACTACTGGTGCCAGTACAGCACGGCAGGCTACCAAACAGTCCCCTAAACCTTCCACCTATGATATCATATAAAGCACTCAGGCCCTATTTGCGAAAGTCGGCTTGCAGAAACCACCAACACTTCACAGGGACAGCGGTCCTCATACCGCAAAGTGGTGTTCCTGTCTGAGCACTCAACCACTTACACTAGGATGGGTTGGAGGAGCACATGGCCGAGATCTGCCGGCCGAAGTAGCAGTCCACCGTAGCGTACCGTAGTCCACCGACGGTCATTGTCGACTCGATACGGGACAGTTCAAGATCGGGCGGCCGTTCTTTTCCGGAGAACTTTTCACATATCAGTCCTATTGAGATTGTATTAGGGCACGAGAGTCTTTACAAAGCTATCATATCATACCTCACCCCGCGAGAGCACACTGCCGTTTGCCATGTGATACTGTACTAGTACAGTCCATGACCACAGTGATCGTTCCGTCGTGAAGCACCAATACTGAGAGCTGCTAGTGACTTGACTTGAAGCAAATAAAATCCTACCACACGACCCACAACTTGGCGATGCAGGTGACAGAGAGGACTGTTTGCCAAAGAGTTTTGATTGATCGAATACCAGTATCCTGACAAGAAAATCCTGTGCAAGAGATAGTGCATTACCTACCAGTAGCAATTAAATAAAAATGAGGAGGCAAAGGAAAGGTAGCATAATGGTGCGGCTTCTCCATCAGATTAGATAACGATTCCCGAGGGGTCTTCGGTCGCAGGAAAGCTCATCACAGGTCACTTGTCTGCAATGGGTGGTGAGCCGGAAAGCCGCGATGCTCATTTGTATGATACTACTCGAGTAGTACGGGTGCTCTCGGGTGCTTGAGCGCTGCTCCCGTAATTCTTAGCAGTACGAGTACGAGTCCAGTATGATTTTTCTGCATGCAAGAAAATCTCTCGTCACACCCATCCAGCCAGCCGTCCAGCGGTACAGTAAGCGACCACACCACCCGACAACCTAAGCGGGTCACAACATGGGAACATCGGACATGAACAGAGAAACAGCACTGGCACGGAGAATCAGCCTTTTGGCTTTACTCCCCGCTTTCATCCTTCTGATGTAACAAATTGGCTCTGTGGCTGGTCCGTGATCGGCTCCGATTTTCCCACTGTGACCGAGATTTACCGTATCATACTGATCGGAGCTTTCGTGCCTCTTATGATGACCTCTTCCCGACAAACACAGCAGCACTCGAGTACCGTACGGTATGGCAGTATCCGCATTATTCGGGTGCGTTAATAGAGTACAAGTACCATCATAGTACGGCTATCGTATCATTCTCGAGTGCTCGTCCGGGCGATAGAAACGGAGGCCCCCGCTTGATTTCTGCCGACGCTTAGCGCTCATAGGAATGAGGAGGCTTCTCTCCCCACCTTCGTTTTACTGCTTTTTTTCTTTCCCTCTTTGCTTGTTTCTCCTCCTCCTCCTCCTCCCCCACCGCCTCTGCATCCCTCTCTTTTTTCGACTTCACATTTCCTCCTTCTCCCGGCTGTTTTCCCCCTCGTGAACCTCCCGAGTTTTTGGAATTTATTCATAATACCATCGAGTCTACCCTTCACTAAAAAAAAAAGTCTTCACCATGTTGTCCGGCAGATCTTTAGCTCAGGTGTGTTTTCCCCTTGCACCCAATCACCCTGCACGGCCGCTGTCATCACGTGTGCGCTCGGATGCAGACTGACTATTTTTTATTTTTCTTCCTCTGGCACATCAATTTGGTCGAATCCACTGACCCGTTTTCCGCTTTACTCTTACCTTGTCCTCAGGCGCTACTTCGCACGGCAAAGGCCTCAAGCTCTCGCAATGCTGTTTTTCCCGCTACAAGGGGTATGTTCCTGCCAGCGAAGCTCACGTTGGGAGTGCCGTCGATATGCGGGGATGAGAGGCTGACGGACGTATGCAATAGCAATGGCCACCGTTGCCTCTGACCTTGTTAAACCTACCAAGTACGGTGGAAAGTACACGGTTACCCTAATTCCCGGTATGAAAACATCGAGTCATCTGGTTAGGGGGCCGTGTTGGGTGGTGCCGGTACTAATGCTTTATTTCTATTTTTTCTGTTGACAGGCGATGGTATCGGTGCCGAGGTTACCGAATCCGTCAAGACAATCTTCAAGAGCGACAATGTTCCAGTTGAATGGGAACAGGTAGATGTTACCGGTGTTGTTACTGGTAACTCACATCCTGAGGAACTTTTCCGTGAATCGGTTAATTCTTTGAAGAGGAATAAGGTCGGACTCAAAGGTGAGATATATATTGAGCTTCTTACTCAACCCTGAGTTTTTCACCCCCTCCGCATTGTCATTGTGTGGCACCGTGCACATCGGGGAATCTTTCTTGTTCCTCCTTTATATGATGACAAAGAGCCATAGCGCTCGAATAACCCCAGCTCGTTGAGCGGCCCCCCAAAAATTACAACGCTTAGAGGCCGCGGTGAGATAGAAATCCGTCTGATACCGTGCCGGTATTGTCTGCTCTCTTATGCTGCGGATTGAAGACACATCTATAGTGGTCTTGGACCGAAACGCTAACCGGTTTGCTGCAATAGGCATTCTATATACCCCTGTTGAGCGTTCCGGCCATCAATCGTTCAACGTCGCTCTTCGTCAGGAACTTGACATCTATGCGTCTGTTGTCCTGATTAAAAATATGCCTGGTTACGTGACCCGCCACTCTGATGTGGACATGTGTATTATCCGTGAGAACACTGAGGGAGAATACTCCGGATTGGAGCACCAGTCGGTTCCGGGTGTTGTTGAATCGCTCAAGATTGTCACAAAAATGAAATCGGAACGTATCAGCAAATTTGCTTTCTCTTTCGCCACTGCCAATCAGCGAAAGAAGGTCACCTGTATCCATAAGGCCAACATTATGAAGTTGGCCGATGGGTTGTTCCGTACCACTTTCCATGAGATTGCCAAGAGTTACTCTCAACTGGAAGTTAACGACTTGATTGTCGACAATGCCTCCATGCAGGCTGTTTCCAGACCTCAGCAATTCGATGTCCTTGTTATGCCCAACTTGTACGGATCTATCCTTTCCAACATTGGCGCTGCTCTCGTTGGCGGTCCTGGCATCATTCCCGGTTGCAACATGGGAAGGGAATACGCAGTCTTTGAGCCTGGATGCAGGCACGTTGGTTTGGATATTCAGGGACGCGACCAAGCCAACCCTACTGCCTTGATCCTCTCGGCCACCATGATGCTAAGACATCTTGGTCTTGACGACCATGCTACGAGAATCTCCCAAGCAGTTTATGATGTTGTAGCGGAAGGGTAAGATCCACAACATATTCCACAAAATGCGCACAGGGCGACTGATCGTTTCTACAGAAAGGTGAGAACAAAAGATATGGGTGGAAACAGCACTACTCATGACTTCACCGACGCTGTTTTGAAGCACATGGAGAGGCAATAGGCCAACCAGAAATACTAAAGAAAAGAAAAGAAATGGGCGGAGAAGGTTCATATTTGGGGCAGTGTGAACCGAGCGCTGTTTATCTAGCGTTTATCCAGACTTCCCTAATGATGATGATTTATCATGACCAATCTTGGAGCCTGGCGGGTTTTCTAAAATACCACGGCATTCCATCTCGTTTTTTCATTTATTTATTGTTTTTTCCTCCTTTTGATCTTGTAAACTTAGAGGGAATGGATTTTTTTTTTTTTTTCACGCTTTCCACTATTTCTGTGGGGTCAAAATTTCGGTGCCTTGTGATGAATGACACTGTATCATACTAGTGCTTTCAATCACACTACCGTAGTACTTTCAGTAGTGCAAGTGATATGTCGTGACGGGTACCCGCTTTGTCAGCCGATAGGGTTCCCCGGCTTGGTCGTTCTATCATAGGTCGTGGCCTGCCAGCTTTAATTACAGTATCATATCATACGTGGAGGGTGTGTGTGTGAATAGAGTCAAAAGGCCGGTCGCCGCTTCCTCCCGGTATACTTTGAATCGGCCTTGATGACTTTCCCCCTATTCCTCCCCTGTTCCTTCTTCCTGAGAATCCAACCCTTACTCCCCTTCCTACCCTCCCCATCCCCGCCTCTCACACCACCCCTCCCCTTTCTCCTCTCATCAATAACATCAACCCCCTCCAGTCCCCTAACCACATTTGTGACATCACCCGTCCCGCCCCCCTCCGACCCCGCGCCAGCCGTCAATACCAGATAAACCTTAACATTCTTGGTCCCGGGGTCATCCTCCAGCAAGCCGGCGCCGAAGCCAGCCCTAATAGCTGCGCTGGTAATCATCCGCCTCTGCACCTCATTCTTCGGATAGAACTGCAAAACGGCCTTCCCGCCCCTCTTCAGGGCGGCATAGAGTCCCTCGAAGAACCTGCTCAACCTCCCAGTCGCTGAAACATCACTGGAATCGGCGTTGCACAGCCACTGAATCGCCGAGATGCTGATGGCCGCGTCGAACGTGCCCGGGCGAAAGGGCACGCCCTGCCCGATGTCGGCGAGGAACAGGTCACCGGAAGTCTGGCGGTCGAGCGCTACGGCTAGCATACTGGCGGATATGTCCATCCCGATCCACGTGTGGCCCGATGCGGTCAGGCTTTCCCCGCTGAGCCCGCTGCCGCACCCGATGTCGAGGACCAGGCTCGGGTATGGGAGGGCGAGGAGCGATAGGGCTCGCTGGGTCATTGCTGTTTGGATGGTCTGGATCCGGCTGCTTGTGGTGTATTTTTGGGATTCGTGGTCGTTGTAGAAGAGGTCCGGGGGGCTGCAGCGGGTGGGGGTTGTTAATATCTTTGGGGGGTGTGGGAGCGGAGGGGAGGTATGTACAGGGTATCTTCCGGGCGAGACATTGCTTCGATGTTTGCGAGTTCTTTTTATTTATTATAACTTGGCCGGGGGGGTGATGGGTGTCGTGTTTTGCTGTAGAGGCGCTGGTATATGATACAAATAGTCCAATATACCAAAAGTGAAGATTGGGGGTTTAGTATGAATTGGGGTTGAATACCTGCAGAGGGTTTTTCCCCTCCACAGATTTCGTGTTAGTGGGGTGTGAGGCAGTCATGCCATGAGCCCGGTACTGCACAGCACAGGTATTATCGGTATCCAGTAGTAGGGCAGGGTAACCCAGGGCTAAGTACCGTATCTACAAACGAATGATAATCCATGACCGCTCACACTGTCTGCTGGTGAACGGGGTTCCCTGACTTGGTGCAGGAGGCTCTCATCGAGTTGCTGGGCGAAACCGACAAAACCCCCCCCTACCTTTCGGCATTCCTGCACTAACATTGCGAAAAACCGGAATCCTGAAAATTCATAGCGGAGGAACGTGGAAGCGGAAAGGCTCGAAGGGCATCACGACACTAGTACATACGACAGATCACCGTACCGTACTGTGCCTCAGTATAAGAACAGAAATAAAAGAAAGCGAAGCAAGTCCCGTACCGTACCTTACATATCGTGCCCTTTTCAACCCTGCTCCCTTCCCCCTCCCGCCAAGACAGATTTACCGTTCCGTCCTTAGCGGCACCCCGCCGAGCCAAGATTTACCGTGCCTCGACCCTGGAACCTGTGGTACAGGTATGGATACAGTATCATAACAGCAATGAGGCTCTGAAGGGGAAGCCACTGTGCTGTGCTCCATCATTGTGCTTCAGTAGGTGCGATACCGGTAGGGCTTTGATTTTGTGGCGGTGATATTTATTAGCTACGGGACTTGACGGCGTTGATGTCGATTTCACGCGTTCATCCTGTCTCCCCCCCCCCCCCCTTTTGCAATGGTGGTAGTACTGCAGAGCACAGCACCGGTATGGGTTCGTGGGATAAGGGGGAATGATGGATAGCTGGGTGGACGGCTGCGATGGGGTGGGCTTGTCCCTGGTCGTTCGTTCTTGTTGGTGAGAGGAGGAGGAGAAACATTTCCTTCCCCCCTTCTACCCGTATGATACCGGTATGATATTGGTGTGCCTGCGATGTGGTGGGCATGATGGCAAGCACGGTAGTGAGTAAGCGACTCGTGAATTCACCTTTGTATGGAAGGGAGATATACCCAGGATAGAGAAATTTACAGCCTCGTTCTGTCGGTCGGGGCGAAGTTGGCGATAATCGTATCATACAATAATTTGCTTCCTTCCTGCTCTCGGCTTCACCAACTCTGCAATCTCTGTTCTCACCACACTCACTTGCTCCTTTTTCCCTTCCCTCTGCTGCCTCACGCCCTCTCCTGTTTTTCCCTCCTTTACCGTACTTCCCCCCCCCCCCCTTCTGCTGCTTCCAACCTCACTTTTTTTTTCTTTCCCCCTTCTTCCCCTTTACGTTACGGGTTGGGCCTTTTGAACAGCGCATGAGCTTGGAAAACGACCCTTGAGGAAACAATTACCATCTATCGCGTGTTTCTTTCCGTCGAGGGGGTTTTTTCTTTTTTCCTGTCGATTTTTCTTCTTCTCTTCTCACCACCTCGCTCACCCGGACCCTTTTTCTCTTCTCCATAACTCGAAACATTTTTAAAAAGCTCATATCGCACTCCCTGGAGGTGGGCTTCCCCTTCCTCACTTATACCTCCCACTCATTCCGACCATCAGAGCAAGGAAAGTCCCGCACACTTGAACTCCGCTTTCTCGCCCAAGCTCTTTCTCGCCGTCTTGCTGCCTTCTTCCTTCCCTCCAACACCACATTACTCTGCGAAGGGAGGGGGGAGAAAAGTGTTTTTTCCTCCGCGTTTTTTGTGAGAACAAAGTAGCTAAAAAAAAATATAGACCTGGGTTCAACGGGTCAAACGAGCGAGTTAATACAATGACAGACTACGTCACGGCGGATGCATCCTCGTCGTCCGCTTCCATGCCACCGGAGACGATAACAACAGCAGCGGTGACAACAACAGATGCGACCAGCAAGGAGGAAGCGAGTTCGGTTGAGCCAGCGACCAAGGCACCCAAGATGAAGTCCCAATTATCCGCCCGGTCGAGCACAGACGGGAAAGACCGCGGGGGAGGTGAAGTGGACACCCGTCCTTCTTCCGCCGATGTCGATGACCGTCGGAGTAGCAATGGCAGGGGGTTATCACGGGGGAATGGCGGCGGGAATGCCAGTCAAACTAGCAGTGTATCCGGACATAATGGGAATCCCGCTACTACTGGGGGTGGAGGAGCGCAGAGTGGAGGAACCACGGTTAGGAAACAGCCGACTTCTTTCTTCTCCGGGAGTAAGATCAAGCATCTGAAGAAGTCGGATGGCGTCCCGCTTTGGCGGAAGGATATACAGTACGAGTTCTTGCAGGCGATATTCACGGATGATAAGCCGGTTTTTACGAACTCGTATGATCGACGGGCTAATCTGACGTTCGCGGATGTCTATATCGATGCGATGGCGCGGAGTAGCAAGACTAGTAAGATTTTGAGGGACAAGCTTACGAGTGAGAGACCTAATGCGCTGAATATGGCTATGGTTTGCTTGTTGGTTAATGTCGGGAGGATGAATACTACGTTGAATTGTGAGTGTAACTGCATTCCCGTCGGAGGGGTAGACAAACTATTTCTCTTTCTAGCTGGGATCCTGTTTGCTAACTTTTTTTCTCTTTTTTTTTCTCTCTCCATGCAGTCTTCCCTGAAATGAAAGCTCAGCTCAGGACGTACCACTCCATCCCCTCGTTGCAATCGTATACGGATACACACGCCTACAAGCAGCTCCAGGACGCTCCCCGCCTCAAGTCTATCCTTAAGGGTGCTTGCGAGGATCGCAAGGAGCCGATGACCTTGGACCAGCTCACGACACTCCCGGTTCCGCGTACAAACCCTATAAACCTGGTTTTCCTACTCTCGACCTATGCCCCCAAGATCTCGGAGCTCCATTTCCCCGAGTCGCGGGATTTCTACGACCTGGTTATGAGGAGCACTCTTTCCAGCAAGAGCAGGGCTAAGGCCTTCCTCTGGTTGATGTGGTGGTATCTCGAGGGTGACTTCGACACCGAATCGGCGATGAAAAACCCCTTCGGCCAAGGCCAGGAGGCGAAGGACGGGGGGGTGCCTTGCAGAGTGCCTCAATTTGAGCACTTGACGGAGGAGCAAGCTGCCAGGGAGAACGTCGACGCCGACGGAGAAATCGAGTTTGGTGAGAGGATGCGACGCGAGCGAAAGAGTAAGTTGCCTTTGTTAAAAAAAAAAAAAAAATCCGAACTTTATAGCCAAACAACAAAGAAAGAGGGGTTGAGTGACTTGTTCGTCTGCTAAAGGGATAAACGCAGAGCTGCTGGAGAACAATGACAACGCTCCCGTGCCCTCTACGGGGAAGAAGGGGAAGAAACGTGAGTTATACCCGCAACTCCAGTTTCTAGTCGCATTGCCGGCGGTCCCTCAACACGTCTGACATCCGTGATAGAAATTGCGCCGTCTCCCGAAGACGACGAGCAATCAGCAACTGGAGGTTCGCCACCCATAAAAACGCCTACATCAGGAAGAGGAAACGGGCCACGTATGTTGGCCGCATTTCCGCACTCCTAAATGACCTTGGCATGGAGGTTTTTGCTCATTTTTATAGGTTCTGTGCGGAACCCGACTCGTAAGAAACGGGACTATTCAAATCTTGCGGAATTTCAATACGAATACGACTCTGAGAACGGGACTCGCCAGGGTTCTCCCGACGGGTCAATGACTCCCGGCGGGAATTGTATGTTTGTGGCTATTCTTTGGATATGTTGGGTTTTGTACTGACTGATATAGCAAACAAACAAACAGCGCTCGAAGCGCCAACCAGAGGCCGTGGTGGACGCCCCAAGGGCTCTGGCAAACGCGGAGCAGATGGAGAAGTCAAGAGCTCTACTCCTCGCATTACTCTCAGAATGGGATCAAAGGCCTCCCTCGATGCATCAGGACATAGTCTCACTGCAGCCCGGTCAATAGCTCCATCTACAGGCCCGCTGGACCGTGGAACTCCGCCCGGCATAGAGAGGGGATACCGCTCTCGACCACTGACCTCTCACCAGCTTGCGGTACAACAAAACCGTAAAGACAGGGCAGATTACCATATCAACCGTAAGCTCAAGCGTCTCGACCGCAAATCTCGCAAGGCCCGCCTCCGGGAGGGCGCCATCTCCCGCTGCTGGCGCAGGATAGAGCACATGGAAGACCCGTTTGCGAAGTCCGACGACGAACACGAGATTCACCCTGTAAAGCCAATCATACGCTCAACCCCGGCCGTCGCCGCCCCTACCATAGCTACCGCCGAAACCGACGATGCAGGGAACGTCACTGCCACTGCTACTGGCGCTGAAAGTAACAACAAATCTACGGACCCTAAAGACCCCACCGTGGTAGCAAACTCGGCAACTGACTCCCCGGTTGAGCTAATGGATGTGGACACCGATCTCCCACCCGTCAAGAAGATCAAAACCGAGCATGTTGGCGGGCATCACTCTTTAAAACGCTACGGGAATGGAACCACGTATCGTGGGATCGCGGGGCTTGCACCGACAGATGCGGAAGAGGACGACCACGGCGAAGAGGCTCTAGCGCTTGCGGCGGCGATCAGAAGGTCGAAGAGGCGCTTGGAACGATGGGAAGAGGAGGACGCTAGGCGGGAACTGGGCGAGGATGTAGTCGTCGACAGGAGAGGCGGGGTGGTTGAAGATAGCGAGGAGGATGGAGACGGGGAAGGTGATGGGGAGGGGGAAATGGAGGCGGAAGCGGAAGCGGAAGCGGACGAGGGTGAAGCCGAAGGCGATGTGGAGGGGGACGTAGAGGGGGATGCGGAAGGAGAAGAAGATGGTGAGGGAGAGGATGAAGAGGCTGAGGCCGAGGACGAGGATGTCGAGATGGAGTAGTATGATATATTATCCTTCTATCCTTCAATCTCCCATGCATGATCTGTTTGTATCCCCGTCTTTGTTGCCGTGGTGAACTGGCCGCTGGTTACTCGCTTGCCTATTTATGTTCATTACTTCATTTCTTTTTTTTTTCATTTCTTTCCCTTTCGTACTTGATTGTATTGCCCTTCTTCACTTTCGATAATAATTTGCGCCCGGACTGGACTGGACTGGACTGGGATGGGATGGGGTGGGATGGGATGGGATGGAGCGAATCGTTGCTTGCCTGCTTGGTTGTTTGTTTGTTCACTTTCGATGCACTGTACTATAGCCTTTAGATCGTACTCCAAACATAACGGATCACTGTTACTATTACCACCATCATACTCGTAGGCAGCGCGACACAATACCAGGGCGAGTGGGAATGGAAGTGTATGGGCGGCTTCTTTAGCACTTGCGAGGATGGGTGGAGAGTATGTGGAAACGAACGAAAGTGAAAATGAACGGAACAGAAGAATTGTCGTAGTACTACGGGGGGGGATAAGTTTGTTCAATTCTGTTCTTTATTTATTCCATTGGCCAGACGAGTTAAGTTGGTGCTACCTACCGTGAAGTACGGTATCATACTGTACAGTACAAGTACAGTACAGTTCTGCACAAATACTTGGCAAGTTACTTGCATGATATGCTCGGTATTACATTATAGGATTACCCGTACGCTCTTATCATATACTTTTTCCAGATGAACTTTCATGGTCTCATTCATTCATTCATTCTGGCACCCGAATAACGGGAGAGGGAATCCGCGGTGTGGGTATTTTATCATGGGGTGGGGTTGGTTCCTGTTGAATTGACGGTACGGTGATGGGCTGTGCTATTATAGACGTATTGATGTGTTGGTTGTGGGCGGGATTATTGTGGGGGGTACGAGTACGTATGGTATTGCACCGATCCTCACCACACAGCGGCCTAATAACAATGTATAGTGCACTATTGGAGAGGTGGGGGGAGGGAAAGGAAAGGTGGATTTCTAGCTTTCTAGTATCATACAATAATGCTGATACGATACATGCTGAACCACCGAAAATGATCGAAATTTCTCTCAAGAAACAGGAACATATTATATACACACTCCCTGAAACCGTATTCAACTGTACTGTACTATACTTTCATCGCCCTCTTGCCCTCCCCCGCCTACATACACTCACCCTGCGATGATAGCCATATCCTAGTCTAGCGTAGCCTATACACCTCACTTCGCTTCATACATCCGTCCACATAAGTTCGACAATCAATCAATCAATCAATCAATGGCCCCCCTCTAACCTCAAACCACCTTGACTCCGCTCCACGCACGCCACTCCATCGCACCTAGTACACGCAAAGTAAGAGAAAGGGAAACAAGGAAAGAAAACGAAAAAAACACCTGTGAACAAACTGGATGGATAAAGTGAATTTAACGAGGAAATGGGAGAGAGAGAGAAAACACCAGACCCAAGAGAATTACAGTGCTTGTGGTTGTATTAGGTTGTACGAGTGGTAAGGATATGACCGAATGTATAGGGAATGAAGCAAAGGAGAGGGACATAAACATGACGCAACACAACTGACCGCCCGCACCACCCACCTACGAAAACCAGGCCAAACCAGACCATGCCAGGCCAAATCAAAGAAACGAGAGGAAAGGGAAAGGGCAGTCGAGTGGATGGAATCACTCATAAACACTATCTTCCATCACCATTGCTATTGCGGCTGTTAGTACACCGATCCAAGCTAAACAATCAATAAAGAGTGACTTACTGCTCCCGCCATTATTCGGCCCACGATTATACCCCTTCCTACCCATCATGAACATCATACTGCTCTCTCTCCTCCTTGCTTTAGCTCCGCTGGGCCCGTTACCGCCAGGGCCATCCCCAAGCATAGGTGGTGGCGCCGGGAACCCCATCGCCGGTTGCGTCGTTGGCGTAGGGGTAACAACTGTCTCGTAGGTGGGCTCGTAACTGGCGAGTTGTGGTTTCGGGGTAATGGGCGGATCCTGGGGCGCTGGGCGCGACGGTGGCAGTGGGGAGCGCATTCCTGGGGTTAAGGGGGCTGCGTTGGGGTTTTTGGGGTTGAGGAGCGATCCGGTTGTCGAGGGGCGGCGGTCGGTGGGTGTGGGGTATGGGCTACGTGGGGAGACGGGAGATGGGGTAGACGGGGGGTTCTGGTGTGGGTGTTTTGGATAGTGGCTGCGGAGGGCTTCAAGGTTGCCCTCTTCCGGGCGGACAAAGATGTGGTTGTATTCGTGGAGGAACATACTGAAAACTTGAGCTGGTATGTTGAGAGTTGGGGAGAAAACAATTCCAACTGTAAGAGAAATCAGCTCTCATCCATCTACAAGACAGGAGTTAGGAGGGTTACCATTTCTTATAGTCATCTTGTTTATATCCGAGTTCTCAACAATGTGGATCAAGTGGCCCGACAACGCCCTCAAGAGTTCAAAGTTCTCAATAGGCAGTGTATGAACCAGCTCGTTTAGGGCCGCGATCTTAGCTGCCTTGTCGTCCATTTCTACAGAGCGTTAGTATCGCGGCTGAAAGCCGAGTGAGAGAATGCATACCAGTGACTTTGACAAAGTCCTCCCTTCGTTCCGTCGTCAGGACATTTGTTGGGAGTTCTCTAAGATACAGTTTCAATAGGCCAGCCACGGCGTGAACATCGTAATACTCGTCGTTGTCCAGAAGGTTATAGTCCGATTCTAGACCCGATTAGCCCTATTGCAACACATTTGCCGCTTCTGCAACATACCAGTGTTAAAACGTTCTCGAAGCCCCTTGATAACAACATTCGAGCCACTTAATCGGAAAATACCCTCTTCGCTCGCGGCATCCTTAGCATCCAAATACTGAATACACCGGTAAACGACCGCGGGTAGATGAACGTCCACTCCCATCGGCTTGCTCAAATGAACCGCCTCTTCCAACGGAGCTCCAAAGACGCTGCGAGAAACAGGTATCCTCTCATGGGCCTGTTGAGGCAGCGCAGCTTGAGGTTGGTTGGTAAGGTCCGAAGAAGAGCGCTGTCGGAATCCCCAAATGCTCCTCTTCTTTGCTGATTTCTGCTCCGCGTGACTAGTGGGCGCCGAGAACTTCGACCCCCACGCAGCGAGATCCGAGATGACGGATCCGTTCGTTGGCCCGGAAATCTGCTTGGAGGTTACTGGGCCCCTATCCGGGACCGGTCCAACCATCGGTCTATTCTCCAGGTGGTGGCTGCTGAGAACAGGGGTGGATTGCGATGTCGATAATGAATGTGCGCCCGAGTCCTGAGGCGAGGGAGTATTGCGCAGCCTATTGAGCTCCTCCGGTGTAGGGCCTCGAGCGGGTGCCACCCCAGAGACAGTCTCCTCATAACTCACCGCTTGCAGGCAATCATCACCGTTCTTCTCTTTGCTATCCTTGTGCTTTTGCCCGTACCGCTTCTTCTTTGCCTCCCGACCAGTCGTCGTCGAGGACTGGGAAACCTGGGACATCGTAGAATGAGCATCGTCATCTGGCCCTCCCTTATCCACATACTGCATCAAAGCCTCTACCCATTCATCCCTCTCGGCGTCATTCTCGGCACATAAAACATGACGGACCAGGGTCGACGAATCCTTGCGTTTGGGCTCCAACACTAAGAATGCATGTCGGTACTGATTGTCCGCGTCATTCACACCATCCGACGTTTCCTTGACCTTCTGATTCTGCGATTGGCGTCCAATCTGAGCATTCTGTAGCTTGATCTGTCCCAAGTGCGATCCCCCCGGAGATTCATAATATTTCAGCACCGGGCCGTTGAGCACGAAATACCGCGCCTTCCACCCGCCAAAGTTCTTGCCGCGTTTCGTCAAATACCCCTCCTTCACCGGCTTCCCATCCTGGTTCGTGCACACCGTGCCGCTTCCGTCCTTGAATATCGGAGTCGAATCCCGGCCAACGCTATTATCCACTACGTCCGTCGAGAAGAACTCACACAGCGCCAGCGCCGCACGTTCGTCCATGGTGGCGCCCAAGACTCCCGCAAAGTATTCGTCAATTGCATTTCTTCGGGCATCAATCTTAGCTGGAGCATGCCCAGAGAAAAGACCCCTATCGGGGACTTTAACGTTATAGGCGATGTAATTCCTCAACCGTGAATCCAGAGCAGGCAAAGCCCCAACGTCCTTTTCGACACGTAATAGTTCCTTCCCATTTGCCCGAGAAAATACCCCGAGTGTAAATACGGAATCCTCGCTCAGCGGCCGGGGCTTGCTTCCGGGCATCATACTAGCTCTAGCGGGCTTCATCCTGGAAGATACTACGCGGGAATCCACAGACGGAATGGCCGAAGGTAGGATAAGGAGGTTACTCAATCCGTCGAGAGACCCGGGCTTCGTGAAACCACCGACACTTGACAAACTACCCGCCGAAGCATTTTTCTCGTGCCCGCTGTGATCCGGCGGCCTAGGCGGCATGCTAGCACCCATGGGCACGCTCATGCGAGGAGTGCCGGGCCCATAAGGAGCCGGAGCTATCGCACTCATTCTCGGAGAGGTCGGTAAACCGGGCGACTTGATCCTCGGCATTGGCGAACCCAGAGGTCTGTCAATGGGCCTTGGTGAGCTCGGCAATCCGGGGCTGGGTAACGGAGCTCTAGCGAACTGCTGTCTGATACCGGGGGAAACTGCGGACTGTTTCTCAACCCCTGGCGCAGCAGGTGATAATAGTCCTTCATTATGTTTTCGTAGGGTTGAAGGAGGTGAGGCTTGCTTTTCCTGAGGTCGGGGACTAGGGGCTGGTCGCGCAGGCGATACACCCTTGTGCACTTCGATTTCGGGGGACAAGAAATCAGAAGGAGCCTTCTTATCCACCGGTGTATGTTGCCAACTCTTTTCGCTATCACTATCGGATCCCTTCTCCTCCGGTTCTTTTGATCTCTGGGAGGAAAGCTGTTGATAGCCCGCAATCTCGTCTATCGAAACATTGTCGTCTTCGTCAGTGTCATCATGTAGTTTAGATTCCGAATGTAACGCTAATGACAGCGGAGCGGGGGGCGCCTTTCGAAGCGGCGATTTCCCAAGCCCCGATGCCGGGGCAACGGTCGTTGAGATACCAAGTTTCATTCGTAGAGGGATAGGCCCCTTTGCCGTTCCAGTGCCCGCAGTTGGGTATACATTATCCAATTTGCTCAACGAGGCAGGTCCCTCCTCAGCTGGCCCTTTCATTGGCGGCAGAGAATTTCCAGACCGTAAACTACCTTGACCTCCAAGACTCTGATCGGGATACTTGTTTCCATTAGGGCCCCTCGGCCCGTGATTGGTGGACGAGGGCGGGCGATCGCCCATAGAGTTTGCCGGCCCATCCATCTCCTGGCCCAGTGGGGGCGTAGGCGGATAGGGAGCCATCAAACCGCCCTGGACCGAGCTCGAATCGGACCTCGAGGGTTCAGGAAGGGGCATGGATTCCGATCTAATGAGGGGATTCGCTTTTGGTTGGCTATCCCGTGGCGAATCGCCAGTGGCACTCTCACTCGGCACAGGCGATTCGTTGGATATTCTCGACGGGCCCATTGACGACGTAGGTAGCGGTTGAGGTTGACCCCTCTGCTCCTTGAGCGCCTTCCTGTACTTTTCTTTATCCCTCAGTGCACGTTCCAGGTCCTTGTTCAGGCCGTAAATCATAGCTCTCTGCTTGTCCACCAGTTTCCACAATTGCGCGTTCTGCGAGGCCGCGGAAGCCTTCTCCTTCATCATATATGCAATCAGCGACTCGGCCGACCCAGCCGTTTGGATCAAGGACTGGATCTCGGCCGGTGTTGGGTTGATATCTCTTGCCGAGTTGTGACTTCCATCTTTGGTTGTATGGTTAGCTCCTGACTGGGCGGACACGGATGAGATAGCGGAATCTATGGAAGAAGTTCGCGGAATGGAGCGTGGAAAGCTTGCGGACGACATGGAGGGAGAAGCGGCAGGAGTTGCAGTCGCACTGCTAGAAGTTTCAGGGACCGAAAGTAGGGGTTGTCCTCTATCTCTACTCGTGCCATGCACGGAGTTACTAGAGCCTCCAGACAAAGACCTCGAAACAGAATAGGGTGAGGAGGATGCTGTATCGTAGCGGTGAGAAGGATCGCTGCCCAAAGGACCCAAAGAGCCGCCCGATACACCCGATGCCTCGGGTTGTAATCTCTCCAACTGATCTTGCGGGGTCCTGGAAGGGGTGGCGGATTGTAGACTATAATGGTTGTGGTGGTGGTTATACGGGGAAGAGAGGTACGGGGATTTTGGGGGGTGAGTAAATGAGACCTGTTGATGTGTGATGCGACCTCCACCGCCGTAGTTGCCACTACTGCCGTTACCGGTGTTAATCTCACGATCAAAGTCCTGATGCGTGATCAAGTTGTCGCGCTGGGGATGTTGGGATGGTAGTGGCAGTCTTCTAGGCGAGGACGGGTATCCTTGATGAGTGTAGACAGTCCGTGCTTCACCTTGCAAATTTACCTGCAGAGCATAAATGTCCGGGGAAGTAGGATGAATATTATTACTATGGCCCAAAGTATCCGTGGTATTGTTGCCCCCAGCGTAGTGGCTATTCAGGCTAGAAGTGTTTGGGCTCTCTGTAATACGCAGTCGATCTCGAGCAGAGCGTTCTGGGAAACCCTGGTCACCGAGACCAAAATGCGGCGGTGTTGGCGGAGTATGGAGAGGAGGATGCGACATGACCGGAATTAATATTATTATTACGTTCTAAGGGGGGGGGGGGGGTTGGTTGGAGGGATAAGTTTAGGAGTATGATAAAAGCGAAGCGAAAATTGGCAGCGAGGGTCCCCCTGTCCGGTAAAGATTAGTGGGGACAAAACGGCGTCGGCAAACCCTTGGGAAAGGAATGGATCGAGTGTGAACCTGGTGAATAATATTCCAGGAGATGAACCTCAATGTAAAAGAAAAGAGGACACCAATGAACCTATAATTTCCTTCCACCTTCAAGCAGGGAGAAGAGAAAGGGTGAAGGAAGAAGAGAGAGGGGAGGGGGAGTGGAAGGGAAGAGATGAAATTTGAACGGATAGGGAGGGGGGGGGGGGGGGTGCAGAGTAAATGGGATGTTGGAAGGAGAGATAGAGACAGGAGTAAGTTGAGTTGGGTATTGATACCGTCAATGGGGGGGGGGCAATCAATCAACGAATATCGAATCAAGCAATGAAGAGACGAACAGAGGTCAAACAAGCCAACCACACAAACCGGTGACCTTTGGAACGCAGGCCACCCACCCCGATGGTAGGGCAGGTAGGGTAAGATGGGAAATAAAGAGGGCAATGGTACGGTATGTATGATGTGCAAAGGGGAAACAGAGAGCACAGCAGGGGAACAAGAGGTTGAGGGCGGAGGAAGGGGAGGAAGGGGGGAGGGGGTACAGCACTACTGGCAATAGTATCAGGGGAACTAGCACAAAGCGTATTTTTCTTTTGCTTTCGAGGCTCTCTCTCCTCTCAGTTCACTCTTTGCCTCTTGAAAGTCTTCACTCCTATCTTCCCCTGCCCACAGAACAGAACAGAACTGCCAAACCAGTTGCACTCCGTATGCAGAGCCTCACCGCAGCAAGCAATCGGGCAGGCACGGCACCAGCGATGCCCGCGCGCCTGCTGACAGGCTTCAAAGCTTCCAGGAGGAGGAGGGAAAGTATATCCCTCGATAGTACTTGTACAGGGGAAGGAACAAGAGTTTGCACAGTACAAAAACTGTATCAGGGCATGTCAGTCATGATATCCGCGTAGTGCTAGTACTAGTACAGCGTCCGCGGGAAGGAACCCAATGTTCGTTATGCCCTTCCTCCCAAAAAAGTGACAAAACAACACTTTGTAAGGAATGCTAAGAAACGGGGGGGTTGGATGAGTGGAGGGTTTGAAGAAAGAGAAAGAAAAAAGAAAGGAAGGGAAAAGAAAAGTGCTGTTGTTGCAAATATACCGACCCACAACCACCAAATGTAGAGTGCGGGACCGTAAAACATCGTACAGTACAGTACTCGTACAGCACAATACCGGTACGGTACTCGCACGGCAGTGAGTTCAGATGCAAAGCCAAACGCGCGAATACAAAGAGAAGAAAAAAAAGCCCAAGACAGGCCAAGGATGTTTCACACAAACCTTTATTTCCTTTTCCTCCCTCCGACAGTCTCAGAGGATGGCACAAGCTTTTTCCCTTCCCGTAATATCTGAGGCGGTAGGGTGATGGTGAATGGCCTGAATGACAATTCCGTTCGCAGGTTACTTTGTCAGCTGTGCATTCCTTCGACAATGCATATCACACAGGGTGGGGAAAGATGGGGATGGGATGAGGGATGGATGGGTGAGGAACTAAAAAAACCCTTCCCTCAGTATGAGCACGGCACTGTACAAGTACAAGTATGATCCCACATGATATTATCCATTTAAAGGGATACCGCTACAGCTACCGTACGATACTACTTGTACTCGTACAGTATGCTCACACCGGCGTCAGGGAGGCGGCGGGCGACGCGGTACGGTAGCGCAGAGTGCACGATATGCCGTAAGAAGAGCACTCTCTCTCTACGCACAAGCGCTCTCCCCCCTTTTGTTTTTTCTTCTCCCTTTTCCCCTCTCTTCCTTTCCTTTCTTTTTCTCGGTGATGGGAAAGATGCAGAGGGGAAAGAGAAAAGTCGGCATGACATACTGTAGAGACAACCGAAACCAACAGAGCTCGACTCTCCCCCTCCGCAAACTGGGGCGCAGAGATGGCTACAGTACTGCCGTATCGGGCAAATCTTTGATGGCACAGTACCCCCGAGGTGCTACGGTATGCAAGTACGGTAGCTCTATCCGGACACCCAGCAGCGCTGGTACTGGTACCGGCACTGTAGGTCACGGTAAGGCTCGTGTCGCCTGGCTCGTGAAGCGAGAGGATCCGGTCCCTTCCCCCTCCGTCCTGTTTTCCCGCACAGTTACGGGTGGATGCGATACCGGTAGGGTTTCCGAATGCCGGCACGATACAGTAGGGTTGCCGATTCCGTTGCCTGTCCAGCAAGAGTGGGGTCGGTGGATGAGGATTCTCTGGACGAACCCTCGTCCGCAGATAAGTGAAGCGGGCAGGCGAGCAAGTGGTAAGAGGGATGATAGCGGTATATGATATGCAGGTACGAGAAAAAAGAAAGATAAACTTTCCTCCCTTCCCTTTCTATCATACTTTTTTTTTTACAAGATATCCTCTACAGCATATATAAACTGTGTTCCGAAACCGGCTCAACATGATTCATCATGCCGAGAAATCCTCCCGTCGTCATCTCAATAACCAAGGTAAACCCTCCTCCGCTTATCATGAACGAATCTACAGTTGTATCATGAACCCCCCCCCCCCAATCATCTTCGGGCATCCATTGCCTTCATTCTCGCAACCTCCGAACGCAGCGATGAGCTGTCGCCCTTTTCCTCCACTCATCCCAACACCGGATGATGAGGACAAAACATGCTAGACCGGAATGGGCCATTCATCCCTTCCCTCCCTTCCCATCTCAGCCCGTCAGGATTGATTCACCTTTCACATTCCTTCCTTTTTTTTCCTCGTGGCGAGAATAGAAAGCGCGGATCAGGGGCTATGGCGTGTGTCGGGGGATGGCAGGAGGGCAAAAGAGGAAAGAAGAAGGGGGGACAGAAGGAAAGCGATCATAGCAAAAAAAGAAAAAAGAAAAAAAAAGCCGGACCTGAACCAGCCAAGAAAAAGAGAGTAGGGTCTGTGAACGGGCGCTGTCCTGTGCTGCACGGTAAAGTTAAAGCAGAACTCCGGTAATTCATCCCATCAACTGCGCGCGCATCAACCTACCAGTACGATATCCAACGTGAGTTGATGGTGGGCGAGATCCCCTAATATGAATTTACTCGAGTTGGAAGATCCACCACTCACAAACCAATCCATCCATCTCGTCCAGAAATACCACACAATTCGGATGAAACTCCCAGGCGAGATATATATACTGTACATATATATAAAGGTGCCCCCCCCGGCTCATCATCGCACCAGCAGACTACGAGTACTGACCGGATGCAACTCGAGTAGTAGTCCTGTATCCTAATCTTTCCAGAATCCGCTCCTCCCCACTCCACCATCTCATCCCCCATCCCCACCCTCACAGCCAATCCATCCATCCACCCATAAATTAAATAAATCAGCATCCCATGCAAATCATCCTTACACCGCAACCCCGTGATCGATTCCTACAAATACAGTATTCTGCGAAAAAAAAAAAGCTAAAAAAAGATTGCGGGGAACAAAGCCCGTTCCCACCCTTTTCGCCTCTTTGTCCTTGTCTCCCATCCATCCCATTTGGGTACTGTATTATAACCACCTTCCTTTCCCATCCTTATCAACCCACTTTCCACCCACATCCACACCCAGTTTACATAGACCAAAGTAAATTTAAACTCACCTGTTTGAGTGCTGCGCGAGTGCACAATAGCTTAGACTATAAAAAAAAAACGAGCAAACAAACCCGTACTGTACTCGTACCGATAAAGCTATTCCTCCGAATGCGGACAATCTATCTGAAACAAGGAGGTGAATGGAGTAGAGTAGAGTGGAGTACCGTAGAGTATGTGAGTGTGTTCGGCGGGTAGGGTACAAGTACTCGAGTAGCACTGTTGTGCTCGAGTAAGAACTGTAATGTGCCCCCCTGTAATCGCCCTTGTAAGTACTTGTATCATGCTGGTATGATACCGCACCTGCAGTTTCTATGGGTTGCTAGCGCATGGAATAAAAACCTAGTTTATCATGACCGGAAATGGTGCTCTAGGTAGTCTACCGTACAAGTATCATACTTCAAACTTGCGGCTATGATACAAAATCTGGAAAATATACTTTTTTTTTGGAAAAATTCCTTTACGAGGACTTTTCCGACTGGTTGTGGAGAGTGACTGCAACTGTAACTGTAACTATAGCACAGTGCCGGTCGGTTATCTACAACAGCCAGCCAGCCTTCTTTCTTTCTTTCTTTCTTTCTTCCCCCCCCGCCCCCGGTTGCGCGTGCGTGTGGGGGTGCTGTACTAGTACTAGTACAGCAGACTGCAAATTTTACTTGAGCATAATAGATATGATATCGTAGAAGATTACTCGACTACGATACGATACGGGAAGGAGGATCCTCACCGAGATTTGCAATTTCAGAGCTGTGGAGAAGGAAATGGAATATTTCAAGTGACTTTCCCGATTAGGCATGATATACCGCCATATCAGGATTAGAACCGCCGATTAGATGTGAGACTCTGTATGTCTTAACTTATGTTATGAGAAAAGAAGAAAGAAAGAAAGAAAAATCAAGCCGTCAGATGATCCCCACAAACATCCGGTCTGATACGGTACATACAGCAAAGTGAAATTCCCTTTCGGGCGGGCAACGAGTACGGTATCATACTCGGCGCCGAGGAAGGAAGGAAGGAAGGAAGGAAGGAAGGGAGGAACATGGAGGTTGCCGTCCCGGATTTTCATTCCCCCAGAGTACAGTAGAGCCCCCCGGAAAGGCCGAGGATGTGAATGAATGTTTTCATGGGAGGGGTGAGGCACGCCAGAATTAGGACTAAATTTACCGTGATGGATAGATATAACCTTCAGGTATCCGTGGGATATAATAATATAACTTAATAGCGATACCGGTATTGTATTCGATACCGTAAATAACAAAGCGCAATCTCAATCTCAACCGCCTGCACCACCCTTCC